TTATAGGACCATTGTGTGTATAGACAGTCGACTCCCCGAGTACATCCTGAGGCGGAGAACACCACTCTCCAAATCGGCTCGTCGAACACGGAGCTTACCTACGTCGATTGTCCTTCTTCGGCTCGCAGTGTACAATGCAGCTTTAGCAGTGTGCGAGACCTTTATCAATCCCGCGAGGTACCCAATCGATATTTCCGCACTGATGATTGCGACCTGCAGTCTGTATTGCAGACTCTATACTTTTGCGTGACATCCTGGTTGATCATACATAGATCCCATCTGGTACTCGCAAGCAAGCACCTTGCAGTCAGTTACTTGCCGCTCCTACCTATAACTGCACAGCCGGAAGCCATCCAATTTCAGAGACGACGCACATGATTGCAGTCAAACACATCCTAGCAGGCTTTTCAGGGGTACTGTTACCTTTTTACGCTCTTTACGCTCACTTTAATGTGTGTTGCGACTGTCCTTTTGATTTCCATGTAATTAGTGTGTGATGCATAGAGGGAGATGCGTACCCAGATGATCTCTCGCCACACCTTCCCTCCATGAAATGTCTACATTTTAAGCTCAGAGACCAAGACGCATTACGGTCAGTGCATCAATGAGGCTCTGCGGGAAGCTGGGGCCTTGGGACAAATTGCAAGCATCCAGCCTTCGCACAGCTGATCACGTGTAGCATTACGTCAAGTGGAAAGCAGACTTCATCAAAAGATATGTGCTAGGAGGCGACTGACGACGCCAGGTATCTCGATCGTGACTTGCCCGTTCCGTGTCTCATGAACCGTCCGACAACACAAACGACCCGCCCTATGGTATGAAAGACATTACTCGACCGTGATCAGTTCTCTATTTCTCGCGCGCGGATGTTTCCAGCTTCTTCTTCTCGCCGGCCGTGTCCTTGTCGTCGGACTTTTCGGTCGCGACGGACGAGGGCGACTCAGTGACTTCGGTGGCGCCAGGCCCGGGGGTGCCCTCGCGGTTGGTGTCGGTTTTGCTGGACTTGCTGACCTGGGAGTCGAGGTCTTTCTCCTCGTCGTCGTTGTCGAACATTTCGTTGTCTGCGCCGCCGGTCTCAATTTCAGTGCCATCGCCTAAGAGAATGATGCGGCCACCCGTACCGGAAGGTCTGAATTGATGGTCATCCATGTCATGCTCATCGGGGCTATCGTCAATGCGGTGGTGATTTCCCGGGCCGCGGAACTCGGCTGCATTGATATATTAGACCTGAATTATTCTGTAGCCTCAGGGGCCGACGGAGCTGGATCTTCAGACTTGCCGTACTCTGGCGGCGCACATGGGCCCTCTCCGTTTGCCACCCTCTTTGCGATGTCCTCGTACCACTGCTCCTTGGTGCGGCCCTGGAGCAGACCGATGATGGTAATGGTCATGTTATCGCAGCCCACACCCCCGGTGTCGCTGTTCGACGCCAAGCAGTTGTCCATCATGTTCTCGCAGATGGACGCAAGGTCCTGCTTTGCCACAATTCCGCGCCTGACGAACTCGATGACGGCCTGAGAGGACTGGACGTCCCAGATGCCTTGCGGGAGTTAGCAAGAATTGAGGGACTGTATGATGCATGCTTACCGTCACATGCTACAACGAGGAATTCGTCGTCCGCGTTGATCTCGTGTGTCTCGACGTCGGGGAACGCGGTGACGATCTGCTGCTCGGGGGGCAGGTCGGCGCTCTTCTTGAACTCGAAGTCGCCTATCGCGCGGGACAGGGCGAGGTTGCCGTTGACGCGCCCGAAGTCGACGAAGCCTCCTGCGGCCTGGATGCGTGCCTTCTCGGCTGGTGCGTGTCAGTGCGCTTCTTCACTACGTATTGGGAGATGCTCACCCTCGTTCTGGGGCTTGTGGTCGAAAGAGAGCGGCTTTGCGCGGCCCTTGACGCCCAAGACTGTACGGGAGTCACCGGAGTTGGCCTGGTTGTGTTAGACTGCTGCGATCCACTCGGCTGCTCCGCACTTACGACGTAGATCTTGTCCTTTGAGAGAATGCCAACGGACGCTGTGCAACCGGAGACCTCGTCCTCGTATCTGGGATCTATCGTGGGTCAGCTGCCGGTCAGCACCGGATAGAGGGAGTCGCCTACCGCTCAAGATGGCGCGGTCAGTGGCGAGAAAGCCGTCCTGGAGCGCCTTCTTCATGTCGCCCTCCTTGAACGCCTCCTGCTTTGCTACGATCTCGTGCAGGTGCTCGCCGGTGTAGATGGCGACCTTGTCGCCGCCGTGACCATCGTATACGCCGAAGAAGGCCAGTCGCTTGTCAGCCTCGGTGGCCTTGCCGCCACCGACGGCGGCCTGCAGGTCGAGGATGCAGGCGTGGGCATCCTCCATGCTGATGCGCCAGCCCTGCATCGAGGAGGTGCCGAAGATGAAGTGCTCGCCATCGCCGGACTCTGATTTCTGGAAGCATCGTAAGCATACTATTGGCACCAGATCGCGCGTGGTGGTGGTGTCGCGGAAGAGGGCGGCGTGTTTTCAGTGCGGGGGCGGGGATGTTGTTTTGATTACCCACCTTGTCGACGACGGGCTCGGACAGTGTCTGACCCATGGTGCCGGGTGCCTACGAGGACCGCGGGGCGAAGGGGGAGGAGATGTAGATTGGTAGCGAACGGGGCTGCGCGTTCATGCAATTGTGAGCTGTCACTGAGCCTGTGTGGGGTGGGCGGAGAGCGGGCGGGTGCAGCTGCGTGGACGGGCGGCGATGCTTCTGTGGTCAAGGAGAGATGGAGGGCGGAGAGGGGTGCAGGGGGAATTGCGTGTCTAGCTCGCTAAGAGTAAACAGGTGCTGTTGGTGGTGAGGCCGAGTGACGCTCTCAATCTCCTCGAGCCTCGACGGGCAACGCTAGGCGAGCTGGGCCTAGCTGGACAACGTCAGGGTGGATGACGAGCTGTGACATTTTTTGCGCGTGACGCCAGCAAGCTGCCTGCAGCGTGTCTACGCGCCGGCCTGTGAGCTGCGTGCCGTGCAGAATATGCACAGCAGCCTGGGCCTGGCCGCTCTTCACAGCCTCTATCGCAGCCGTATCTCGCAGCTCGCGTGCCATTGCACAGGGCTGAAAACTCAATTGAACTGCATTGCAAATCGAGACCACCTGCCACCCTGTCCGTCCGCTAGATACTGCGGCTGACAGCACCGCCGCAGGCCCGGGCAACTTCGACCATCCCGCACTCGTTCTGTAATAGCCATGCACCTATCTCTGTGTAGAGACGCTTCCTTTGAAGAGGGGCATTGCAGGTTCTGCCTCGATGTACCGCAGACAATAGTCATTGTCCTGTGTCAAGGGCAGAGCGGCCTGCTAGCCCCACATGCAGCTGTCCCACCCGTTCAGCGGCGTGTCCTGCACAAGCCGCACTCCCTGTTGGAATCTCGCAGCCAGAGCGTCTTCCCTACAGCTTTGCAGGACAGCATCCCCTCGCACAGAGTATGAGCAGGTCGAACTCGCGACTCAAAGCTCCTCAGAGCTCCTCAGAGCTCCTCACAGCTGTCTGGAGTTAGTTAGGGTCTTTAGCAATACATTGCTGCACAAACTGCAACGCTCAGAGGCAATCTAGGTGCTTACAGCACGACAGCCGGAACTCAAAAGTGAAGTGATCCGTGAAAACACGTGCGCCTGAATTTGACCCCTCCTCACGTGCTCTACGACTTGTCTAAGCGACTGACGAGCAGAACCTTTCACGAGATAAAAAAAATAACGTGCTTTATCAGATCATCTTATCAGCACACGTGAGCAGTCATTCGCTGAGTCGAGCCTCGGTAGTATCTCGTATCTCAGAGCGTCTCACTAGCCATTTTCAACGGGCGTCCGGGGTCGCGGAGAAAGCGTAGAGCACCATGTCCCTCCCGTGAGACATTGCGGAGATCGCCGATGCGCACTTACCACAAATGCGCGCGTCTCCCGAGTAGACGCGCTTTTTCGGCGCTTTTAGAGCCTCAATCCAAGAATTGCGAGCCTCGGTGTAATGACTAGCGCGTTCCAGCTTCCAGCGATCTCGGTGCCGAGGGATCTCGTCTCGTTGACGTACTTGATACAAAGATCAGCTCCCCTATCCTTTCCGCGCCCTCTGATCATCACCACACTTCTCATCAACCACCATGTCACCGACACCAGACTGGGTAAAGCAATTGAAGCCTTCGGGCGTACAGGGCCATGAGCTCCTTGCCGCAGAGCGTGCTAGCTCCAACATTCCAGTCCAGAAGCTGGAGGAGCTGCTACACACCAAGGAGGTCATCCAGAGGCGGAACAAGATCACAGAGCTGCTCAAGTCTGAGCCAATCTTTGACAAGTCGCAGAACTACTTCATGGGGAGGATCGATCGCTTCGAGAGAGCTCTTGCCAGGGAGAAGAAGCTGAGACTCCTCAAGAAGAAGCACAACTGGTCGTACGAGGAGTTCAAAGTCGCCACAGAACTCGTCGGCGAACCCGGCCCATACGGTCTCCACGACAGCATGTTCAAGGTAGGCATGACCGCACCGCATATTTCAGCATCAATCTAACTTTTCAGGTCACACTTGCTGGACAGGGTACCGAAGAGCAGCAGCAGAAGTGGCTCACCAAGGCCGAGAACTACGAAATCATCGGATGTTACGCCCAGACTGAGCTGGGTCACGGATCCAACGTCCGTGGACTTGAGACCACAGCAACATGGAACGAGGACGACAAGACCTTCACCATCCACTCCCCACATCTGACTGCCAGCAAGTGGTGGATTGGCTCCCTCGGCCGCACCGCCAACTACGCCGTCGTCATGGCTCAGCTCATCATCAAGGGAAAGTCATACGGCCCGACCCCCTTCTGTGTCCAGGTTCGTGATATGAAGACCCACGAGCCGCTCCCGAATATCCACGTTGGTGACATCGGTCCTAAGTACGGTTACAACACCATGGACAACGGTTTCCTGCTCTTCAACAACGTCAAGGTGCCTCACATCAGCATGCTTGCCAAGTTCCAGCATGTTGATACCAACACCAACAAGTTCGTCCGTCGGGGCTCCCCTGCCCTTGTCTATGGAACACTGACTTGGGTCCGCTCGAACATCGTCATGCAGGCAGGCAGCGTTCTCGCTCGCGGTGTCACGATTGCCACTCGCTACGCAGCTGTCCGCCGCCAATTTCAGGATCGAGATGCTCCTGCTGGCGAGGCGGAAACACCGGTGCTGAACTATACTATGGTCCAGATCCGTCTGCTTCCTCTGATCGCCGCTACATTTGCCCTGCACTTCACAGGAAAGTCCATGATGGAGATGTACGACGCCAATCAGGCGAAGATGAAACAGCCGAGGAATAAGGACGAGTCCAAGCGTGGTGCCGGGCCTGAGGAGCTCGAGTCGGGCAGTGACTTGATGGCCGATCTGCACGCCTCGTCATGCGCACTGAAGTCGCTCAGCAGTACCATTGCTGGTGAGGGCCTTGAGGTCTGCCGTCGTGCGTGTGGTGGTCACGGATACTCCAGCTTCAGGTACGTCTATACTGTACGGCAGATGATACAAGGCTAACGCGTTACAGCGGCATTGGCCCTTGGTATGCTGACTATCTTCCCACACTTACATGGGAGGGCGACAACTACATGCTCACCCAGCAGGTAGCCCGCTACCTTCTCAAGTCTGCCCGCTCCGTCCTCAAGGGTGAGCGCCCCACCAACGACACAACCAAGATCCTCTCAGAGTTCCAATCTCGCCGAGAGGTTGGCTGTGCCTTCGATGTCATCGGATCCGACAAGGACCTTGTCGATGCCTTCGCATGGCGCGTGTCTTTCCTCACATTCGAGGCCTCCAAGCACCGTGACACCGAGAAGAAGCCGTGGAACGACCTCCTCGTCGACTTCTACCGTCTTTCCAAGGCTCACGCCCAGTGGATGATTGTGAAGAACAACCTCGCGGCGCTGCAAGCCATCGCAAGCCGCAGCCAGGTCAACAACGACACTGTCGAAGTCCTGATGAAGCTGTTCCGTCTATTCGCGCTGCACACACTCGAGCAGGAGGGAGCCGAGTTCTATGTCAGCGGAGCGTGCAGCAAGCACCAGATCCAGCTCGCCAGGACCAATGCCGTCATGAAGTTGCTGAAGGAGATCAGACCGCACGCTGTCCGCCTCGTCGACGCATGGGGTTTCGACGACTGGGTCCTCGACAGCAGTCTAGGCCGTGCTGATGGCAAGGTGTACGAAGATATGTTCTACCGCGCCAGCGAGCTCAACCCCTTGAACAAGATCACCGTTGATCCTTACCCAGAGAGCGAAGTGCTGTTCAAGAGGATCGAGAAGTCGAAGTTGTAAATTGTAATATATGGGGAAAATTGGTCTTTTTTATAGAGCGAACACTTGGATAGAGAAATGCAATAACTTCATAACACCTGTTCTTGTGGTTCGCATGTGCGATGGCCATTTTGGCTCACTGCGGTAGGGCTGTGGTTTGGTTCAGAGTCCGTGCATCGCCGAAGCTCAACCTCACCTGGCTGCGGTACACATTACAAGTGCAACAAACAATCCCACGCGCCATGTGGTAGCCCAGCGGACCGCGTGTATCGAAGTCGCGTGAACAAACTGAAACCAGTTTTCTCTCTTTCGCAAATCTCGCCGTTCCAACTCGCCCACAATGTCTGTTATTCTCTGCACCGGTGCGCCCTCGCCCCCACATCTTTCACTCCGCAGCTAACATCCGCAGCCGGCTATGACCACACAATTCGGTGCGCCGCTTCCCTTGCCCTGCAGAGATCTGACTAACCGCGCAGCTTCTGGGAAGCTCTCTCCGGCATCTGCTCCCGTACGATCCCCCACCCCGACTCGCAAGTAAACCGCCTCTGCATCTCGCCCGACAAGCGCTACCTCGCCGCGGCCGGGCACCACACCGTCAAACTGTACGACATCAAGTCGACGAACCCCAATGCGATCCTCACCTTCGACGGACACACCAGCAACGTGACCGGCGTCGCGTTCCACTGCGAGTCGAAATGGCTCGTGACGTCGTCGGAGGACGGCACGGTCAAGATCTGGGACACTAGGAGTGGCAACGTCCAGAGGAACTACACGCATGGCGTGCCGGTCAATGATGTCGTAATTCATCCGAATCAGGGCGAGCTGATTAGCTGTGATCGCGGGGGCAATGTGCGGATTTGGGATTTGGGCGAGAACAAGTGTAGCCATCAGCTGATCCCAGAGGACGACGTGAGCGTGGCCAGTGTCACGGTGGCGAGCGATGGGAGTATGGTGTGTGCTGGGAACAACGCTGTGAGTCCTCGCCCTCCACATCTCATTTTGTCCAGTCTACGGACAAGGTGAGCCAAGCTTCGCGCTGCTGACGTACTTCGGCAGGGCAACGTCTACGTTTGGAAAATGGTCATGCGCGGCGACCTCACCTCGATAATACCCGTCTGTAAATTCCTCGCCCACCACACGTACATCACCCGCGTTCTGCTCTCCCCCGACGTGCGGCACCTCGCAACCTGCTCCGCCGATCACACAAGCCGCATCTGGTCCGTCGACCTCAGTTCGCCGCACAACGTGCAGCCCGGCGACGCCTTACCATCAGCCGCTGAGCGCGACCCCGCGGCCTTCCCGCTCGAGACGACGCTGCACGGCCATCAGCGATGGGTCTGGGACTGCGCGTTCAGCGCCGACAGCGCGTATCTGGTCACCGCATGCAGTGACCATTACGCACGGCTGTGGGAACTGGGTAGTCAGAGCATCATCAGGCAGTACAACGGGCATCATCGGGGCGCGGTGTGTGTGGCGCTGAACGACACAGCGGTGGGGAACTAGGAGGCCTTCGACGAGTTGGCGGTCGCCGCAGAGGGAGATGCAGATGCAGATGTATTCAAGGCCGTAGAAGAAGCTGTTGATGTTCAGGAGATGGCACAAGAGGGTGTGCAGGTCACGAGCTGCATGGTGGATGGCATGTGGCCGCCGGATTCCGACGACCTATCGTATCTATCGACGCCAGGTCCAGGGTTGACTTGGGGAGAAGATAAGAAGCTGCGTATCAGGATGGGCGAGTGCAGGAGTATGGGCGGAAGACCGTATCTCGGGTACAAGTACGAGACGCCCGAATACTACATACCAGGGACGAGGCTGTAAAGAGGCGGAGAGACGTTTTTGTTGCATCAGCGCGGCGTTGATTTGGACTGGGCCGGTGTGGGTTAGGGTTTGGCAGGTTGCACGGCGTATATCGGCATCTAACAATACAGAAATTAACTTTACCGCTTAACACTGGCGTACGAGGCGGCCGTTACGCGTGCTAGACGACAATCCCCACTCGAATCAGAAGAATTAACCGTTTCTACGCCTCCTGGCCGAGCTGCGCTGCAAGATGTTTACTCATGTCGCAGACTCGGTTGTCGTTGCTGGAAGGAGAGCTTCTTACAGTGGCACCGCGCTACGGTCGGTGGGTGTGCGGGCAAGTCAAAGCCGGGGTGCCGTCTCGCACTGAGTCTTCGAGAATTCTACTCATCGATTCCTGCACCCTTACCTGGGCATTTTTTGGGGGTGCTGCAGTGTCAGGTCATGATCGAGGTGACCACATACCAGACCGTCGAAATATGCATAGATATAAAATTGGGGAATTTGGGAGTAGACTATTGGATCAGCATCATTCCAACCTCCCAACCCTGTTTGCGGGGATCCGTATCGTCGTCATCTTTGGCGGTCAAAGAGAAGGGAGGGGACTGACGGCTGGAGAAAAGGAGGAGGGACGTGCTAACCTGGCCGAAGTGTTAGGAAATGCAACTTTGGAAGTTATGCTCCATTGGGACGACAGGGGCGGTCAGGACGAGTCAATGTCTCGGGGCCGGGAAGGATAATAGCGTCGTCGCAAGAGGAAAGCACAGGCGAACAGTACTGCGACCTCAATCTAACCTGTATAGCGATCTGGTTCTCAAGGTGAAGGCGGGTAGTGTGCCAAGGCACACGGCGCCCATGCTGTTCTATTATACTCATCTCACAATCGCCCCCACCTCACAACCTCCTCACCAACATGGCTTACCCGACTGCCGCGCATCATCCTACTGAGGTACCAAATCTCCTTCACGATCGCGACACAATGTGAGCCTCTTCCTTCCGAGCGCGGTCCACGCTAACGCATCCAACCCAGCACCGAAGCAAACCAGACAAATTCGCCTTTACTGCGTCTTCCTGCTGAGCTGCGCTACAAGATATACGCTCTCGCCGCAGGACAGAACGTTGAATTTGGGTACAACCATGACGACGAGGAATTCTACGTCGTCAAGACTCCAAGCCCATTTTTACTCCTATGCCGCCAGACTTACAACGAAACGCGCAACGATAAGGCACAGTTGGTTCTGCAGCCGTCAGAGTATGCCGGAGCCTTTTTAACTGGGGAATTACTTGGTCTCTTTGGTATAGATACTCATTGTGTCCACACAATCAAATTCCCTGCACATGTTACCTTGTGCATGATGGAAGACAGCACGGGAGCCGAATGGGCATTCGCCTGTTTGGAAGGGTTCACTGGGGTCGAGCGCATCGAGTTTCAAGTTCCAGAGGGCATGGGGACCAGTCTGCTGGAGGAGTCTACGCTGTGGTGGAGAACGTCCTTTGACAACGACGACATGCAAGTTGTTGTCCGTAGGCCACCGAAGTCATTGTAGCTACCACTAGCTTGCTGGTAAGAGCGAGGGCATAGACGATTCACGAGAATGCAAAGACCTAGTACCGGTGAGGATGCAAACTGCCTTTCTCCTTCCTGCCACCATCTTTCTGATCACTTGCACCATTGAAACAGATCCATCGGCAGAGTTGTCTCGCTCTTCGTGACGGCACCCGGTTCCGTTCAGACGAAGGAGGTGAATGCAAGCCTTCGCCAAGACACAAAAACCACTCGATCACCAATCCCTCTCATACGCTTCACTCTACTCACCTTCGATCCATCAGCCTGCCCTGGAGCAAGCTCTGTGCTCTCTCAAAGTGGACCCCCTCTGAATCTGATGTTATGGAGATTTGAGGGTGCTAGACATAAGAGCAGAGTTTGCGTGATTTAGGAGAAGCCCAGCATATGTAGAGTTTGCGATTGTTGATTAAGGCTTGGGTCAGGGTCTTGCACATACATATTCTTGGTTGTAGAATTCAAATCAGCGGCATCTGCTCCCCGCACCTACTTCTTCCATTTCACAGCCAGCTCACGCCTCACACACACATCTAAATTGGAGCGACAAGCGTGAGCGCTGCACCATATCCCGATACAGCGTTTCGACTGAGATGCAGCCTCTTAAGGTATCATACTCTCATGAATGCCCATGATACGTATGTACACTTGAATCGCAAATGCAACCTTGCAAATAATCGCTGACAGACCAGAACGACAAGAGACTCACTCAAACCGCCACTGCTGCAATTATCACCTGAGCTGCACAACATGTTATACTAATTTGCCGCAGGTACTGTCAGCATCTCCAGGTACATCGACCGTGAGCTCCAAATTCCTCGCGTAACGTGGACAAGCGGCCAAGTGCTCCTCGAGGTATGCAGGCAGATCACCAGCGAAGCCAAAACGCTCGTGATCTCACCGAACACTCTGGGAATCGAGCAGAACCTTCCTCTAGATACCTTGCTTACGTCTTCCACCGTCGGTCTCTATAGAACTTTACCGACCTCGAATTGTGTGTTGGCCTGGCCAGATCCATGGCCACCGACGGACTGAGGCTACGTGGGCGCGTTTAGGGTAGCAGATGGTGCGAGAAAGGTCGGCAGATGGTAGGGTATATCCTCGAGAGTCTAGCGTTTGCCATTTCTGCAAGTTGCCATCGATCGACGGGTTACATGAGTCCTCGTGGCCGAGCACACTGTGGGATGGAGGCGTTGAATGCACTGGCTGCGGTTTTTGCGTGCGAGAACCCTCAAGTGGTTTCCCTTGGATCGTAGTTACACCTAATCTATTGGACATGAAATCCAGACGACACTGGTCTGCCAAGAACCGCATACCCTATTTCCTCGCACAACGTTCTACTCCATCGCTTTTCCCCCACAGTCCCACATTCTCAATCTTTACAATGTCTGATTCGACACACGCGAATGATCTCGATGGGTCAGCTGCCCTACTGAGCGATCGCGAAGCCGCGTAAGTGCGACTTGCTCCCGAACGCAGACGCATACTGATAATACAGGACTGCGAGCAACACCTGACAGTCGCCGCTACTGCGTCTGCCCGCAGAGCTCTGTAACAAGATCTACAAATACGTCTTCGATACCGTTATTTACGGCTGCGATCAGATAGACCTGCTTGGACACGTCCACTCCAGGTTTTGGCTGTTCAGGAGCGGTGAGTCTCTGCTCGCGATATGCCGACAGATCTACAGTGAGGCCAAGATCTGGATTGAGTCTCCACAATTCATCAGCGTCCCGAGACTCTCTCGGGGTAAGCTTCGATTACAGTACAAAAGCTTGAGCTTGTGTATCCATTTTTGGAAACTTGTTCCATCACGTTTTCAAATTATGGTGTCGGCGATCCTCCCAAGGTCCCTCGCCTGTTACCAGGGCTTAAGAGCATCACCGTATTGCCAGAACACCTGTCTGCTGAGCAGAATGTGTCTGCTGAAAGATGGCTGGAGTTTATTAAGCTCATACGTTCTATGTCTGGGCATCCCGCTCTTGAGGTGGAGTTCCTCTGACTCGGCGAACCTTCGAGCTTTGGACAAAGTAACCAAAGGAACGGTGTTGGCACAGCAGGGGATGAAATCATTCATGAGTCATCATGAGGAGATTCAACTCAATTGAATACGAAGCACATTTCACTCGACTAGCACAACATCGTGATTGCACCCACCAGAATATTTGTTATGTACTCGACTCGCGAGTTCATAACTAATGGTACCTTCGCAAACACATATCCTCAGGTTCGCTATATCGTACTTCTGCAGTGCTCGCAGTACGACCGAGGCGCTTACTGAGAAATATGTTTGAAGGAGTGGAGCTCGAGATGGTTTTTGATGAGGCCCTACACGTAGATAACAACGCTCGATTGAGTCTCATGAGCCTGAATGCACCAGTTCCAGCTTCAAATTTTTTGTAATATCTACAAGTGACATAATTGAATCTTAAGGGCCATTGTGGGCGTCATAGTAGAAGAAAAGGAGCCGTCGCCACGCTCTGTGGCCTTCAAGACCATAGCAGCCACAGAGTCTGTACGCTCTTAACTGGTGAGCCTGCTAGTTAATTTCTAGCCTCGAGTTGGATTCTTCCGTCTTTCTCCTTCCACATTTGACGCACTCTCACAGTTCACCATGGCCAGGATAAATCCGCACCGCGACACCACTGTGGAGGAAGTTGACAAGTACGTACGCACCCCTTCTCAATACTGCCCTTAGTCTTCTAATAACGATAGCGCTCCATTCAATCTACTTCAATCCCCACTTTTACGTCTCCCAGGTGAGCTGCGCAACCGGATCTTCGCCCTCGCTTTCGATACCGCAGACCTGCAACAGCTCTGGTACGAAAATACCCCTCCCCGTAGAGTCGCTAATACGGGACGTCCTTTGAGTCAGACTTGCACCAAAGTGCGCAAGGAGATCGAACACCTGCACGACTCCTACACCAAGTTGCGCATCCTCGAGGGTTACGCCAGTGTGCACCAAATTTTCCACCCCATCGGAGAGTAACAATGCTTGAAAGTGCTCTCCTTGGAGCTTCGTTGTGATCAGTGCGAGGGATTCAACGCGGACTGGGTATTTGCAGACACGTTGATATCTACCACATTCTTTCTGAATGTTAAACTTGTATGTTGCGGTGCAATTCGGTCCTATAGGCCTTGATCGTCACCTCTGTTGACTACCTTGGAATAGCACGTCTCAGGGCATGTATATATGGTCGCCTCCTAACTAGCAAGCAACTCAACGCAGTTTCTATCGACTATACAGCGGCTACGTCTGCCGCAACATTGTAGAAATGGAACATGCTTCTTACACCAGAGGAACACAGGAGCGGATCGACACCCTAAAAGGCTTGTTTCCCAACGCAACTGTGGAATGATTTGCCCCGAGAAGCAGGTTCGGCTGATCAGTGTGGAGTTTCGAAACAAGAGATGCTAAAAGCTTCTGGGGCCGGAACGTTGGAATTCATGTATTTTCTGATTAGCAGATCTTCTGATTTGAGTCTCGTAAAGCAATCCTAAAGTGAAATGAAGGTGAACAAATAACACGTGCCCCATCGTGCTTCTCTCAATCCCCAACACCCTCGTTATTCTTCCCTCAATCTTTGATACAGTCGGCACCACTGTCTTACACACCTGCCGCACTCCCCATGGCCGACATGACCTTCCAGCGCCGTACCAACGGAGCGAAAGCAGAAATGCAAGTAATATGCCGCACTTCCGCGAGACGTTCACCAACTTCTCCAGCACAATGCGCAACCAGATCCAATGACCTCTGTTGCGCCTCCCAGCCGAGCTACGCAACTGCATCTACACATTCACCGTCGACACTGCGCTCCTGAAACAATCCAAAGCAAACCGCATGCTCCTGCTCGTCAACAAAGGCCGTGCCGTGGCTCATGTCTGCACACAAACTCACTCTGAGATGCCGCAATTCACTGGTTCGTACGGCAGACTGAATGATTTCTGCGCATTATCGGTCGTGGCCGAGTCGAGCACTGGCGCGTTGCGCAAATTCACTGAGCTGCTGTCACTTGAGCTGGCCCCTTGGGATGCCTTCATTGATTTAGGGGGATGTATCGTCCTCACGTATATGTGCCATGAAAGGAAGGGGATGTTGGCGAAGATATTCCCAAATATGGGGCGAGTGCTGTTGCTGCACGGGCATCGGATGGTCGAGAGATCAAGAACGGTCAAGTATTTCTTCGATGAAGAGCCTGAAGTAATATTACATTGAGAGCTAGTGCCCTAGCCATAGATGTTAGGAAGCAGGTGCTGCAATTTGGTGTGATGCTGAGCGGAGCTACAACAGCAAGTAACATGGCAATCGTGCACGCCTCAATCTGGTCGTACGGTCTTTTGACTCAAACTTCAAAGCTTTGCGAGAATATGCTTTCCTCCGTCTCCACTTCCCAATACGATCTCCTCACTCCGATAATCAGGATTGAACGTGACCTTGTTGAGCGGATTCCTGCGATGCGCCATGTCGAATAGTTCCTCATACACCTTGCCATCAAACCTGCCCAGCGCCGAGTCGAGTAAGAAGTCCGGTATTGACCACGCATCGACCAACTTGACCGCGTGCGGCCGGAGCTGCGACATCAGCTCTAGGATAGAATCTGGCTGCGCGGCGAGACAGGAGGAATAGATGGAAGTCGTAAGAATGAATGACGTGGCTGAGTGCTCCATTGTGTAGAGCGCGAAGAGACGGAAGCAGATGCGGAGTACTTCTGGAGTTGGAATGGACAGCTGCAGCATGGAGTTGAGCGCGTTGTAGAAGTTGGTGATCAGGATCTGCTCGCTGTAAGCGCGAGACAGCGCGTGGAGTTGGATCATCATCTTCGTCCATGGCTTCTTCTGCTCGACGCGGTGTTGGTATGCGGTGTAGCTAAGCGCTGCTGCTCGCCACTGGAAGACGGAGACGATACTGGCATCATCGATCTCTCCATTTTGAGGGTCAAGATAAGACTCTGGGATCCTATGATCTTTGTTTTGTAGATAGTGCTTGAAGAGCTCGTCTGTCGGATCCTTCGAGGCGGCATCAGGGCTCTCTACGCATTGTTGCATCTTCTTAATCAGGTATGATGCCACTTGTTGGGTTATCATCCAATTGTCACCTTCTACTGTGGGCTTGGAAAGGTAGTCGGAGTTCAGGCCAATAAGACCACTGCCACCACCGAAGCCATGTCCGCCCATCGCGCGCCGGCAGATCTCGATGCCGTCAGCTGCGAGCGTAGTACATAGTGACTTCAGTCCGGAGGATGCGCTGTGAAGCTCTGCCAGAGGCCCAAAGTCACCCTTCTCGATTGTTGAGCGGGACTCGTGGTAGAGTCTGTACATATACTCTCCCGTGTAATGCAAAGCAAAGGTCGTGGCAAGTAGTGGTAGGATCCGAATCTGAACCGTGGGATAGTCGAGAACCTTCATTTCTGGCGCATCGTGCGACTTGGAATCACGGTCCGAGAATTGTCGACGAATGCTGCAATACCGCACCGCGACCGTCACGGCGCGCGCCAGCACGAGTCGCGCCTGCATGATAATCTGACCACGCACAAAAGTCAGGGATCCGTAGACTACAGCCGGATGACCGCGCCGTGTGAAGACCCCAACTTCCTCCGAAATTTCTGCGTAACGCGACAACATTGCGGATTTCGGGACGCGGTGGTGGTCAAACAGCATGTACCCGTTGTCCATCGATGCGTAGCCATACTTCGGGCCGATGTCACCTACGGCTATGCCTGACAGTGGTTGGTGAGTCTTTGCGTCACGAATTTGCAGCAGGAATGTTTGCGGGCCGTGCGAGTTGTAGGTGTTCGGGTCGTCTCTGCTCGGTAACAGCAACTGTGCAACAACGATCTGGGTGATGATTAGCTGGCGCGTTGTGCCTTGCGGTGGTACAGAGTGACGTACAGCATGTGTGGCTGTTCGCCCCATGGATCCGTTCCACCATTTGCTTGCGGTGAGGTAGGGGCTGTGGATATCAAACTCTTTCGTTCTAGGGTCCCATCTTGCTGTAGTCTCCAATCCGCGGACGTTACTGCCATGACCAAGCTCAGTCTGCGCATAGCAGCCGATGATGTCGTGGTCGAGGATCTTAGGCATCCAGTAGGCTTGCTGTTCCTCCGAGCCCTGTTCGCGGACTGTGGTAACTGGCGGTGTCAGATTGGCGCCCACGTTACACAGGCAAAATAATTTCACCAACCAAACATAGACATGTGCAAAAAGTACGGCGACATTTCGTCGGTCAGGTATTCCGCCATACTGTAATCCGCGTGACCCCAGCCTTCCCTGCGTATGATTCTTTGTATTGCTTTGGCCCTTGCCAATCCTAGGTGATATCGCTCGGGGCGTGACAGATTGAGCTCCTGACCTTTCTTGAACAGTTGCTCTCTGCTTAGAACACCGAGCACTTTCTCCTGGCGCTGCAGGAAGCCGTCACGACGCAGCAGATGCTTTGCCAGCTCATCAGCGTTTATCGCTGAGCCATCGCGTTCGGCTTGTAGAGTGGATGTTCCATCGTGAGCCGGCTTGAGGTGATCGGTAAAGTCGGACATGGCGCAAAGGTAGCTTGCGCTGCACGTAGTCGCGGTAAGCAGAACGCGACAAGGTTGTTGGTGCAAGGGCGAGCTGATCGACAAAGCACCACGGGCGCTCGCAGCAAAAGTCGTTATACTCAATCGCCAGAGGCGATTATGCAGATAAACGCCATGCTGGCTCTTACTTCAGCCGCGGCAGATGTAGGTGGAGTTGTCATCACAGCCTGTCGCTGCGACGTCGATGATGCGCGTCTGCGCTGCGGGGATGGTGTCGCGCGTTGCAAGGGCCGGCAATTCTCGGCACTTTTCAGTTGAACAAAAGCAAACACGTCATCCGACTAAGGTCCATCGAATGTGCGAAACGTTGAGGAGCAGAGATTTGCATTTGCATCGATGACTGTGATGGAGAGTTGTTGGTTGAATCAAAGAAGGAAGCAGCGGTGGCTGCTTGCGGAAGCCGAGGTAGGCGTCCGCAAAATTACAGGAATCTATCGACATCGTAAAGAAACGCCAGGATCCGACATCATCTCCTTCGAGATGGGAACCGATACCTCCCAGAAACCGACTAGCTATTTGTACAGGATATTCCCAGTGCCATGCCGTGGCGATGCAACGCCAATAAATATATCGATGCAACCCAATAAATATATCCGTTACCCAATGCTGTATGTCGCGAAATGTCATCAACAAGGACGCGCCAGGCGCCCGAAAAGGCCACAAAAGGGCCAAACATCCACAATGCCAGCAATGACACGTTGTCAAACCGCGCCTGCCGACAGCAATGATCCAGCTGCAATCTACAAGATGACAGCTTCAGACCAGCTGCATAAGCCACCGTCTTCCTCCAAGACGCGGTCCATGTCTTCTTTGGTTAGGCGGACCAGGATCTCGAATGGCGCTTCGGCAGCGTTTGCGACATGCCTCCTTCTCGGGAGGAAGATCATACCGCCATCGCCGGGACCGTAAGCTCGCCTAATGAACTCAGGGCGACCCCCGAGGGAGCTCTCCGCGAGGTCGGTGCCAGGAATGCCCCAGCAGTAGTCGGCACCAAAGTTCAGCCACGAGGTCTATAATCATCAGTATAAGAGATCGGGGACGGACATTCCTCAACGTACGATATAGCAATCGGAGCCGAACTTGAGGGCCAAAGCACATTCTGTGTCCTCGATCTCGTCAAGACCCTTGAAGAAGGCAAAGTGACGGTCGATCCAGTCGTTGTTTACACTCGCGATTGTGCCCTTGATCTTCCTGATGACGTGAAGAATAGTGGTGTCGGTTACACTGCATCGCTCGTCAGCTTGGGGGATCTACGACGAATCGGGGTAGCGCTTATTCTAGACCATGAACACCATGCAGGTATGCAGGTATGAGGTGCACGGATCGATAAACGCGGGATAGAAATACTCACCGATCCTCCGTTGTCAGATCCGAGATCTCGGCTGTGCATTTGGAGAACAACGCACAGTTGCCCGTGTAGTCGGCACCGACGGGGGGCCGCCATCTCCTGCGCAGGTCGGTAGCGATACCACAGTTAGTCTGTGCAAGGCCGTGCTCTAATAATCGGGTTCCTCTCGCGCGTGTAACATGTGTCCATACCAGAGCAGCAAGAACATTGCACAGTGTGGGGGGCGAGGATGCTGGCAAGTATGGCCGCAGACGTTCACGGTATTCGCGAATGCGGGCTGCAGGCAGAACGAATAATCGTTGCGTACATTCGGTGTCGTCAGGCAAGGTCTTCTTGTATTTGTAGCTGCCTTTGCAGTAGCAGTCGGCGGTTGGCTCTTGCGTTCCCTTGTAGGATACACGCTCGTCAAGCTTGACTCGAAGCGAAGATTGATAGTCGGCTATGCTTAGAGGCACTATTCGGGTTAGCCAGGCAATAGTCAAGTGTCAGTGCTGAATGTTACCTTGATCCAGATCCCTGGAACCATGCGTCCGTGCGACGTAAGAAACGTTCGCAGAGAACGATTCCCAGAAAGTCGAGATGCCATGAAAGTCGAGAACACTGTGGTGGACATAGATGCTCAGGACGAGTCCGCCGGGGATGAAACATGCCTGCACCCTCATCGCCGGAGCCTCGCCAAGCTCGAAGCTGCAGATGCCCTCGCCGCTGGCAGGGACAGCAGGGTAGTTCGAGAAGTCGTCTGGAAGAAACGTGGTACTCTTGAACGCGCTCGGCGGCATGCCGGCCCTTTTGAGCTCCTCGTAAGGGCGATTGAAATCGCCGATGGAGATCTGCTTGGCCGAGAATAGACCTTCTGTCGCCGCACGATTCATGACGTTGACGGGGTACTGGAGCTGGAGCCTGCCTGATCTGTTGTCGACGAGGCTGAGCATGCCGGCGAGAAAAGGAAACCTCTGAAGCGTCAGGCGTAATCCATCGTCGAGAGCCCGAATGGCAGCCTCAGCGTTATTCTGGTCAGGGAACTGCGAAACAAGCGTTAGCTAGTGTACTTGCAGCCACGTCGAGTACCTACAGGGAAGATGCATAATGTTTGAGTGTAAACTCGAACGTTGTTTTGGTCGAGGAACGACAGGTGGAACTCCCTGAAGTCATCGGCGGGTGGAGATTCTGCTTTGACGATCATGTTGATACAATTCACGGCAATGTGCTAGCGTCAGAATTGCCCGTTATTAAAAAGAAGTTTAAGGACATATCCGGGGCCTGTCGCAGTTAGTATATATACCAGAAGTGGGAACAGTCACACATACCGTGAATCTGCGGGGTCGACAATGAGACCTTGCGGTGAAGGGGCAACAAACACGCAGGAAAACCCACGAGAGCTGTCACCGCAAGGTCCCTTTGTCGAGCCTGTGTGACGGCTAGGCCGCGTTGACCGGAGACGTTTAGCACACGGCCCGATTGCGCTAACAATTATGACCATTCCACTTTCGTACAATAGTGGCGCCAGTATCGGTCTCCAAGCCGCATCCCCGTGCAAGCTTCGTCCAAACAGGGGTTCTGGGTCACACCCGGCGCCCAACGTTGAGCGCCCCGTCTTCCCCGTCCGCCTTACGATTTCACTGTTCCTGAGCCAAACGCTGCGGATGCGGGCAATGTGCTTCCGGTTGTGGGAACGTTCATGTTGCGTCTCCACCAACCTGGATGCAACGGGCAAGGGCGCGATCAGTCTCGGGTGCCCACCGAGCAACGACCTTTGCTGCAGGCTTGGGGCTGGGGACCACACTTCAAAAGCAGACAGCATCCCCCCTTAAGTCACTGTGCTAGGTATCGGGGGATAAGGCAGTGCAACAGTCCTTTGTTTGCACTTTTTTCCCTCTTGGCCAGGCTGTTAGACTCGGCGCTCGACGCCATGCAAGCGGGTGTTTTTGATTGGCAACGGGGCGACTAATGAAGGCGAAGACACCATCTCATCACCACATGTAGACGCCATGTTGCTCATCACGTCCCGAGCGCGTACTGGTCAATATTTCAGGCAGCAGGCGAGTACGTTGCGCTTCATGCCCATGCTGGGCGACGCCAGATCCCATCATCCAGGTGGTTGGAATGCGCGCACATTTAGTGATATCTGAAACCAATACAACGCATGCAGAAGTGGATTCGTGCAGACTGAAATAGTACGGCCGCCGCAAAGCGGTGAGCACTGTCGCCATGCCTGGAGAACGTGGGCCGCATTGCAAGGGAATATGCGTCATAGGTGCACGCGCATCGCGCAGACACGTCGCAAGTGGAGTTCGTGAGCTTGGGCCGATACCAAGTGCCAACTCAACGCCGGTAAGCAACAACAAAGTCGAAGATGCCCCAGATCCTGCGTACCGAATGGTGGGCGTTGAATGAGTGTTTTGGTCATGCTTGGGGTGTAGTAAGCGCCACGTAACGTGGTCATGTCTCGTGCAACTGTCGAACTCCAATGAGGTAGAGAGCAGCTTTACCGCACTTCTGCAGGTCAGGCAAATTGAGTTGATAGGGCAACTTGATTGACTGCCTTGTACGGATAATTTGCTCTGCATGCATGGCAGGCTGAAGCACACGCACAAAAGCGATGCCGTGCAAATTCCTGCTATACAAACAGTTGAACAAACAAAATTGAGACGAATCCTCCTTGCTCAGACTGCTGTCACAGTATGAGCGCCCTGAGTGGCTGCCAGATTCCTGTGCTTTGGGGAGTAAGCGGATGAGACGGGGAACAGACTGTCCGGCTGCGGCCACAATACCAGGCAGTAGGCTTGTCTCACGCACTCGGTTCGCCCCATATATCCTTCGACTGATCTTTTGAGAGACTGCAACGATGGGTCTTACGGAGAATGCGTTGTGCGGTCCCTAAATCAGACCCTGTGTCACGCGCGGTCGTTCGTTGAGGTAGCGTTGGGACTATGTAAGGGTATGTCAACCTGGTTCTACAGGCGTAGCCAGCACTGCCCAAAAATAGTATAAGTCAACGCGTACTGTGCTGTTTGTTCGTATCTTTGGCTGTTTATTCGAGAGGCAACAAGCTCAGCCTGTATCACGTCGATGATATCATGATAAGCTGCAGCTAGATCAGGCAGTGTTCATCCGCTTATCTTCAATGAGTGAGGGTCCGATGTCGCTGGCCTCCGCAATTCTGTTTACCAGCCAGTGCAGTCACAGACAGCAGTTCATCGTACGAAGTACACTGTTGCTTCATTGTGGTCGTCACAGCCTTGCAGTTGCTAGCGCCGGGTACGAGTAATGTCTGCGGGGTAGAGTTGAGAGCCCCGCGGCATGGAGAGCCTCCTTTGGAAATGCCGAAGTGTGCCAACAATTGTCACGACAATTCAGATCGACTTCGTTTTACACGTGCGTAGGCAGTCTGGAAATGCCGAATTGTGCCATCGACTGTTACGACTCGGGTCTACGCGTGTTCATGTGCTGCCTTCTATGATTACCGATCCTCGATGCTAGAAATTTGAGATGGCGCACACTTTGTAGCGTTCGGTGGCCCTGAAGACCACCTGGAAGATATCATGGAGGACCGTTCCTTCATGGTTCCACCGCATGCAGGCGGGAATGTGCTACCTAACACTGTCAGTATCTCTACGAAGGCAGTCCCAACGAAGCTGAGCCTTGTAGCCCCTCTTCAGCCGATTGCTGAGATACGCTAGCCATACACCAGCTCGCATAGCTATCGAAGATGTACGGTCCAAGCACCAGAGAACCCACATTGAGCTGCTCTCCGATGTGTTGGCGCTACGCGAGGTGGCTGTGAATGCACTAGACTCGGCGACACTGGGCGCGTTGAGCAGGAGAGAAGAGGTCTATATCGCAGTGGTGGCGGCTGGCGGCTACGAGTACACCGTTGCGATGCTCACGGTGCTCGCCCTCGGTGCAGCAGCCGTGCCAATAACACCTGCGCTTCCGTTGGACGAGGCAGCGTACTTCATTGAAAAGTCACGCTCGGCGTTGGTCCTTGTCAGCACATTGGATCTCAAGAAATGTTGTGACCTCGAAAAGAGGATTGCATCTACGAGCAACGAGCGCTTCCGGGGTGTGCCAATCGGCTCGTGCATCTATACACCCACGCTGGATTCATCGGAGATCTTGATCTCTTCAGATCGTGCACTCGAGGAGAATGCGCCTGGAGTTGTGATTTTCACAAGTGGCACCACTGGCCCGCCGAAGGGCGCTGTCATGCGGAGATCGTTCGTCTTCGACTGCGCGTTGTCCGTCGCAGACCACTACAGACTCACTGAGGATGATGTCATGCTGCACGTCCTTCCTGTGCATCATGCGACTGGCGTGGGGATCAACTTCTTCCCGTTCCTCATATCTGGGAGTCGCATCGAGTTTCGTAGTGGTGGATTCGACGAAGTATGGATGTGGGAAAGATGGAAACAAGGTGCGACCAACCCTCGGCGCCGGCTGAGCTTCTTCTCAGGTGTGCCGACCATCTACATGCGGATGCGGCGGCATTACCAACGCAGCTTGGCTAAGCTGCCATCGGAGGAGTTAGCAAAGTATATCGCTGGGGCTAGACAATTTCGTGCGTGTCTCTGCGGCACCTCAGCGTTACCTCAGCCATTGAACGACTTCTGGTCGACACTCATGCAGAAGAGGATAGTGCAGAGATACGGCGCCACTGAATTTGGTGCAGTCTTCAAGGTCCGCTTGGATGACAAGAAGGTGCCGGACGGATCTGTCGGACAAGTTGCGAGTGGGGTCGACATCAGGCTGTCAGAAGGCGATGAGGGCGAGGTGCTGGTGAAAAGTCCAGTAAGCATGCACGCGCTACATCCCGATTCTACTGACCACATTAGCACATGTTTTCCAAATATCTCCAAGACCCCGAAGCCACTGCGAAAGCTCACGACGAGGACGGATATTTCAGGACAGGGGACATTGCGCGCAGGGAAGGAACCTACTACTATATCGCGGGCCGCGCATCGCTGGACATTATCAAGTCCGGAGGGTACAAGATCTCCGCCCTGGACATTGAGCGCGAACTGCTTGGATTGCCATACGTGTCGGAAGCCATGGTGATTGGCGTCGCTGATGAAGAGTTCGGCCAACGTGTGGCGGCGTTGTTGTCGTTGCAGGAGGAGGATCTGACTGACTCGTTTCTCGAAACGTACGGCAATGCTGACCACATACTCACGATCGAGGATCTGCGCAGAGATTTGCGTGGGCGTCTGGCGGGATACAAGCTGCCGACACTGCTTCGGATTGCACCAGGCGAGCTTCCAAAGACAGCGACCGGCAAGGTTCAGAAGAAGGTTTTGGGGCCGCGATTCTTCCCTCCTGATTACGAGACTTGCGCAGAAGTGCAACAGTGGATGATACCAAGCGTCCACCTGGCGAAAATATAGATAGTGTTTCCTGCAGTAAGATCTTGCTAGCGTACTGGCTTTGACATTGACAATCTGGAGTGGGAGATGGAAGCTGGGAGGTGACACAAATTGCCAAGGTGGCTAGTGCGCGTACGTAGATGCGCGTTACAGCAACGGCAGGCACCCTTTCATCGTCCACCTCACCATGTTCAACTTTCTGTTTACAGTCCTTGCTGTACAAGTTGCATACTGCATAGTCGTCAATATGCCACCTGGTAATCTTTACTGCGTCTGTGATCCACTCTGATCACCTGTCGTGAACAATGTGACTTTTCAATGACAACAATCACATTATTAAGTGTAAAAATGTGAGGCCCCATCACGACACGCCTCCAGAAAGCAATGGTCAAAGTTGAACAGTTCCTCACTGACATATTCGCTGAGCAAAAACCGCATATCAAGACTCATGATTACGGTGTTGGAAGCAACGACTAGCCTGCACTCTCGCTGACTGACGAGATCTTGCCACTAACCTATCAGTAAGCTGCGCACATCAGTATCCTGCGCACCCCACCAAAACGCGTGCAGCTCCTCATGCAATTACTCCACAACCGCAGTGTCAAATTTAACAAGGTTTTGAATCAAACTAGATAAGATAGCTTTACACTGACGTCTATTGTGGCCTTGTTCATGGCATTTGCTACACGTTGGTGGTGCTCGCTGACGCGTCTGGGCAGCCTCAGCCTGTATCTCCTCTGCAACCACTGTATCAGCCTGTGCAGTCAGCAACTGGCCTTGGCTGGCCTGTAGAGCTCCCTCACGTGCTGTATACTGTCTACGCTGTTGACGCTTACGCTGCTGGCGTTGACTTGAGGCACGTAGCCGTGTATTCTCCTCAGCTAGGATTGTTGCTGATTGCATAGCAAATTGACAGCCCTTCACAAGCTGGCTGATAGCCAGGCCGGTAGGGCTCTGAGACTGGCGACGAAGCAGGTCACGTACAAGTTAAGCCTGCTGCTGAAGCTGAGCAGTTGTACGTAGAGTCTCAGCTGTCCAAGCTCCTGAGGCCTCAGCTACTGTCACTGGTGGAGACGGTGTTCTGACAACAGTGAGGCCTGTCAAGACACGCTCCGGACTCGAATTTTTGTGGGACACTCATGTCATTGGTCGCGTCGTCGATCCTCTTCACGCAGAGTCTATGTTTAACGGAGGATTCAGATTTCTGATATCTTCCAAGCTAGAGAGAGTCCACTCGCCGGAGGACGTTAGGTGACAACAGAAAGCAATGCGCGCAGCAAACGAGACCCTTTTCACGACCGTATGGCCAGACCTCAAAGCACCGCTCCTTAAACCAAACCAATTCCGCGATAATGTACTGTTCCTGGTCAACGGATCGGATTCGAACTTTATTGCTTCGATTCAGGCTATCCCCTGACTTAGGTCATGCACTGGTTTCAGCACGAAGAGTGGATTAGGAAGCGCAGGGAGTGGAACAATGCACAAACCTACATTCTCCCATCACTGGGCAAGACGTTCATGATCACGTATGTCAGGCGCGAAAGAGAGGCTACTACATAGGGCTAGTGGTGCTCAGCAAGCAGAGAATTGGCCATATCCTCTACATCAGCAAGCTAGGGCGAGTATCCTTGCTCGTCTAGCCTCAACACGTGCTGGACAATTACCTCCTCTTTGTTCTTTGTAAGATTTATAGTATTAGGTGTGTAGTCGCAGCATAGGGTGGCTCTAGCAAGTTAGTTACTAAGCGTGCTTTGAGAGACGTTGTAGATTGCTGCAGCGCGTTGCTAAGAGAGCGTCGCGTCTTGTTGGATAGCCTAGAGAGCAAGCTGTATGTCTGCTTCATTAGAGAGCTTTTTCATGTTGCTGCGTTGAGGCATTGTTAGTAGAGTGAAGTTTGGTGTGGTCTTGGCAAAAGTGACCGGTACACTTGGGTGACCGGCATGCTTGTGGAGTACGTTATTGCAAAGGCAATTAGAGACCTACTGTGGAAGCTGAGTGGTCTTTGATCGTTGATCAAGTGTGAAGAAAGTGATCAAGTTCCTTTTCTATCTACGGTGCTGAATGAGCAGAATATATACACCAATACTCGTCCAGCTATACCCTAATTGGAGCCCTAATCACGGCTCCAAGCTGTACCCGATTCCACTCACCATGACGTGGTTAATCTCTAGTGTCTGATCGGTCCAATGTCCAGATGCGGATCACGTGATATGCACCCTCACCTCGATCCTTGCTGCGACACCTACTAATAAGGTATATTTAACACTCTAGCAGTGCTGCAGATACTGCAAAATTAGCTAGTATAGAAGGCCTAGATAGTAAGGATAACTCTGCCTTCTCTAGTAGTATTCTAAAGTTGTTGTTATTAAGGCATGTTGTGTTAGGGTAAAAGGTGGTTGTGCTAAGAGAAAGTGGCTGGTTTGGTGATATGGCTGGCTCGGTGATAATCTACGTTAACTCTAATAGTGGAGATCGTTGATCAGCTGCAGAGAGGCACTGCAATGCTACTGCATGGGTAGACGTTATTGGCAGCCTGAGTGCTGCAGCTTGAAGCGTCAAACAAGGCTGCTTCTGAGCGCAAATTACGCAAAAGAAAGTAGATTTAGAAGGGTAGAGACCTATTAAAGGAACAGGCAGAGGATTTAATAGCCTAATGTGACGTTAGGGTGCAGGTAGAGGGGGAAACGCGTAAGAGTAGGGCCTAAACAGGTGCAGGCAAGCAGGGTAAAAGGCACTGCAAGCACTGCAGTAACACAGGGCACAACTTGCGAACGTGTGAAAAAGATGTAGTAGATGTTAGTGATTAAGAATACATACTGTTAGCCACAGTACAACGTTGTGGTGTTGAGTGATTGCGTGTAGAAGGCCCAATGGCTTCCCCTAGCTAGGCTGCTTATGTAGGTCTATTTCTCTACGACAACCTTTGACAAGCATCGACAAAATGCATGGACGGACTAGCAAGACTGCCCGACTCCTCCAAAATTTCGTTAATTATCTACCTTCATACGGCGCAGCGGATGATCTTTTGGTGCCTTATCCGCCTTGTTTGCCGCATCACGAAGAGAAAAAATCGGCGGAAAATCGGCCAAATCCCACGCCACCCTTAGGCCCTATGATCTTGTCGTCAGCGTTCCCCACAATGTCAAATAACGTCCGCAAGCATTCCGGTCGAGCTCTACTATTGGTTGTGCATGATGGAATAGCTTCAAAAGTCGGAAGGACAACCTACCGCCCTAGAGCTACCCCACCAAGAGCTGTAGAAGCAAAACGGCTACATGCCCTGAGCTGTCAAATCTTGTAATCCCTCGGCTGCCGTACTCAATTGCACCCCCTTAGTATTCTCATATCCAGGTATCCTCATATCCAGGTATCCTCATATAGAGAATCAACGCTCAAGCGCTCAAGATGTCTTGCGAGAACTGCAAAACCGGCTTCAAGTGGGACGGCCAGGCCTCTGGCAAGGAGACCACCCTCAACAACTCCAAGGCCTACGTCGCTGGCGACTCTAAGGATGCCGCGATTCTCATCCTCACCGACGTCTTTGGCTGGACCCTCCCCAATATCCGCCTGATCGCGGACCACTTCGCAAAGGAGTCCCAGGCGACTGTCTACGTCCCTGATCTGTGAGTCCCTCAAGTATAATGTAAGGGACTGCTGGCTGACAATTCGTAGCTTTGATGGCGAGGTCGTCGATCCTGACGCGATGTCCGACCCAGAGAAAGCCAAAAAGTTTGACCTCATGGCCTTCCTCGGCCGCCACAGCAAGGAGAATCGCTGGCCGCAGATTAAGGAGTACGCTCAGACGCTGAAGAAGCAGTACAAGAAGGTTGTTGCGATTGGCTACTGCTACGGCGGATGGGCATGTTTTAAGCTCGGTGCTGACCCCCAGCTTATTGACGCCATCTCAATGGCCCATCCCTCGCTCGTGGACAAGGCCGAGATCGATGCCACTAAGGTTCCTGTCCAGATCCTTGCGCCTGAGAACGACCTTGCATTTACCGCAGAGCTCAAAAAGTACGCGCTTGAGAAGCTGCCTCAGCTCAACATTCCTTGGGAGTACGTCCACTTCCCTGTTGTGCAGCACGGCTTTGCTGCGCGCGGTGACCGCAACGATGCTACACAGAAGGCTGCGCTCGAGAAGGCGAAGAGGGACGCCGTTGGATTCTTCCAAGAGTACCTGCACTAGAACGTTAGTACATAATGTCTAGCATCTAATTCATGATCTGATGATATCGTTTTCGGATGATGTATATCGACATGCGAAGCGTCTTCCTTATCAACGTGGGAGACCACGCTATGTAAATTAGCGCGCAAACAACGCGTCTCACAGCGTTACCTCAGTCGTTCAGCGACTGACTCCCGGATACCGATGTTTACTTACTTTTCAACGAAATAGGGTTTGTCACCTGTAAGCGCTGCGCCCTGAACATTGATTTACACGATCTGCCCAACGAACTCACACTTGCAATCTTCGAAGCGCTATACGACACTAGCTCCCGGAACGAATACAGCAATGCACTCTACGCGTGTAAGGCCTGGAACGAGCTAGGGGCGCCGCTTTCGCGGACGTATGTTGCGATCAACAATGGCAATATGGTTCGGTTTCCACAATCCTCGGCCACTTCCGCGAGCAGATATTGCGCCTCGTCCACAGCCTGTCGATCCTCTTGTTTCCTATAATGGGTGGGTAATTTGGTACAGGGATTTTTTGCGCACCTCGGGTGCCCTCTGGGACCTCTTGATACTGACTCTTCTGCAAGCACTGACTCGGACTCACACCTGTCAAGCTGCGTCCAGCCACTACCAGCTTCGTTTTCTCTGACGTCGGATCCCTCGAATCCAGGCTTAACTCACCTGTTTGCTGTCGCAAGATACCTTGCCACACGTGTCTACAACAGAAAGAGCGAACTGATGACATTTTCATTCAGGCTGGCACCTGAACTCGCACCGCCACTGGCCCCAGAGCTGTGGCCCTTCCCCGATCTGAATACTTCTTCCCGATCAGTGTAGCAGCTGAACAAATCGATGCGCTTGGAGCATAATGCGTTCGAGTCGAATTCACAACACATGGTTTCGACGGTCCCGACAGCCCAAAGGACGAGCTTTTGTCTCACGCTTTGGCAAGACTAATCTCGCGCCTTGCACACTTGCGACTTGAGGTAGGCAACATATGGTCTTTCTTGCTCAATCAAATCCTGGCAGGACAAGTGCAATCTGAGTTGCAATGCTTGAGCCTCGACAGCTGCAATATTGTGGTCACAAGTGAGCGACCTGCTGATGCCGAATTCTCGTCTGCGGAATTTGCTATCAAGGACTCCAGTTCATTATCGAGAAGTCACGACATCTGAAGGTTACACTGGCTGCGAATGCAGAATGTTGTTGCCCGAGGATTGCTGCGAGCTTATGAGGAGGGTCGATTTCCGAACATTACCACGTTGCATCTTCTCAACATAGCTTCAGAGCCAGCGGAGCTCGACTTTGATGGAGAACGCTCGAACCGGCTAGACATCATAAGACTTTGCATGTACACGGTTCCATTTGTCGTCATGCACCCTGAGACAACATGCGGCTACGTGACAGAAGGGCCATGGAAAGGCAGATTACTAGACGTTTGGGGGTACAAATCGACCGCATCCGGAGAGCTCAAATTCGCGGATACCAATTAGGTAGAGCTCATGCATGAGATCTCCTGGGTCACAAGCACGGCCGGTATTCGCATCCCGAGGCAAAAGTACCCCGGCGGGCTGCAGAGGCATATGATCCAGTGGGAGGATACAGCCATGCCAGGTGTCTCGTGTGAGGCCTATCGGAACATCAGCAAGGCGGCTTGCGGAGACGAATTGGCAGACGACTTCAACTTTGAGGTCACCCTTCACATCGGGGACGGCCACTTCCAGGAGCCTTGTGTCTCCGAAGGCCTCCTGGAGTGGCACGACTGATCGAGCTGGAACACGTTTTTCGCACGAGAGCATTTGCGCTACAATACGATATTCATACAGAGAAGCTCAGTAGCAAGTAGAAATTGACACCATTGGCCCGCAACGAGACGCCTTTCCTATCTCGGTACGTAACCCGCCTTTGCCTATCCACATCGCCTCACAGTCCTCCACACTGTCGTATTGCATGCAACGAACCAGAGGCTACCAGGGCTAGACCCTACACCTGCCAGAGACGGCTATGACGGTTGAATTGCCCCACCGCTGGTCTGCCCGACCCGCGTGGCGCCGAACCTCAAGGCGGGTTCCTGCAGTGTGCGCTCGAAAGCGATGTTGTCACATGCCTGCGCGCATCTGCGAGCCGGACTGACCGGAAACTATAACAGTGCAGTCTTGTGCTGCTTCACGCCTAACAGCGATCGAGCGTTTCGAGGACCAACATGTTCGGAGGCATGCCGCCCGACGATAACCACTATAAAGACCACCATAATGTACATCCCAAAGTCCACACACAGTTACAAAGTATTGCTCGGTTTTAGCACGTTACAAGATGCGTCTTACCGCTACACTCGTTGCCGGGCTCCTAGCTGATGTCAGCTCAGCCCGAGCCGTCGAGCAGCGCGCAACTGCTAACAAGCCAGTGTAAGTGGAATCTGGGCTATTGCGAATCAATCCTTATTTCCACAGGTTCGCGCATTATATGATTGGCGAGATCACAAACGCGCATACTCGTCAGGACATCATCGATGCGAAGGCGCTTGGATTCGATGCGTTCGCCATGAACTTTGGTAAGCCTCCTCCTGTCCCTCCATGAACGTTGCTGACGCCTCGCAGACCAGTTCGCATACTGGTCGAACAACACTGTGGATCGTCTCTTCAACAATGCCGACGAACTGGGCTTCGGCCTCTTCTTCTCTTTCGATCATGCAGCCAAGCACCTCACAGACCCGGGTCAGTACGCAGACTACCTCAAAAGCTACATCACGAGGAAGTCCTATTTCAAATTCAACAACAAGCCAGTCGTTTCCACCTTCGGAGGCGAGGACGTGTATACGTGGTCAGCGTTCAAGAAGACTGTAGGCGATGTACTTGTCATCCCTGGGTACTACCAGATCGACCCTAGTACCACGTTTACCGCGCACCAAAACATCGATGGGGTCTTCAACTGGAACTCTTGGCCCCAGACTAGCGCTGGAAAAGTTGTGGTGTCTACGAACGACGACAAGATCTTCCAGTCCAAAGCTAAGGCTGCGTCGAAGCTCTTCATGATGGGCATCTCGCCTATCCAGTTCAAGCACCTCGACAGCGGCAACAACTGGTACCGTCGTGGAGAGGACAACCTTGAATACCGATTCGGTCAAGCATTGGACTTGCAGCCGGACATGCTCCAGTTCCAGACCTGGAACGATGCTGGCGAAAGCCACTATATGGGGAATCTCTGGGACGAGCCGATGACAACTTCCACCGCTATCCAAGCTCAGGTGAAAGATCGTGACCACAAAGGCTACTGGCAGATACTTCCAGCGTTCATTCAAGCGTGGAAGCGCGGAGACAAGACAACCGCGAACATGGTGCCCACAAACGGCAAGCCCATCCAGGGTGCGTTCTGGCATCACACGCTTACTTTGGGCGCCAACTGTGGCTCTGACCCCCTCGGCAAGTCCGCTGACATTCAGAAGGCTGCCGAGGACGCCGTCAGTGGGATTGTCCTTGTGGCAAAGGGCAAGACGAACCTCGTCGCTGTAGTCAACGTTGGCACAAAGGAGCTCGGCAAGCAGACTCTGGTTGAGGGCTACAATAAGGTCAAATTTACTGGCTTGACACCTGGAAAAGTACAGCTTGAGGTTTGGGACGGAAGCACCATGATTGGTGGAGGCTACGGAAAGCTCGAGGTAAGATGTCGTTATTTTTCTTGCCAATGCTAACACAATGCAGGTCACGAACTCGGCTTCATTTTGCAACTACAACTTCCAGGTTGTTGGTCTGCCTAGCTAGATTCAGGTGTTGTGGACGGTATGGTACGCAGATGCTAACACAGATTCGGTCCGTCCACCTAAGCGAAGTCGCACGAGAGTGTTCCTTGATCTGCGGCCGGGGATCCACCCGCCATGATATCGAGGTGGCCTGACCGAAGGGTATGAGTAGACGACCTCGCTCTCATCACATACACAAAATTATCATGCCAACAGAACTCGAGTACGAGATCGATGTCCCTTTTCGCGATGCCAATTATGAGCCACTCGGCGATGCCCTGTTTAGATTGACGCTGAGTGAAGAGAACAAAGCTGAGATCTTCGAGTATGGGCTCTCAAGGCTCAGTCAAAGTCAGCAAGAAGCCTCCAAGATATTTCAGAATCTTGCCAGATGGGATCCGACTACGAGATTGATGTTTGCTTCACGTTCTTCTTCTACTGTTCTCAACACGCCGTTCCGTCTCGTCTTTCCCAACGCTGATTTGAGCTCTTTCGACGAGACCGGATTGTACGTCCGCCAGTACATGGTAGTATCATACTGTTGGCACTCGAAAGACTTCTTTCCCGATGGCTACGAGAGACATGGCGATTGGCCTATAAGCAAGCCATTTGTGGACGCCATCATCGGCGAGAAAAATCATGCTCGAGTTGGCATTTGGATGGATCAGCTATGCATCAACCAGGAATCGCCGATCGACAAACAGAAGTCAGTCGCAGCCATGGATGTCATCTATCGATCTTGTCTGCGCCTTTTGGTTCTCCTTGAGGACGTGTACCTGGACGAGACAGAGGTCAAGCTGTTTGAAAAGTACGATCTTTGCAAGGTGACCAAGTATAATCGAGCGTGGACACCTCCAGTCGAGGATCAAGCGCCGCTTAATGGATTGCTCGCCAAGATCGTTGCTGCTCGATGGTGGCAACGAGCTTGGTGCTTACACGAGTTCAGTGTCAATGAACCATGGAGCGACAAAAGACAGTGCAACGAGATTCATAACGCCACCTTCATTATGAATGGGCCACTGGGGTCGATAGTAAGGGTTAAATGGTGGACGCTATTTCATGTCGCGGGCATGGCTCCCAACTTAGCGACGGACTGCCCGGGCATGGAGATCTTTATGCCCGTTGACAATTACAAAGACCGCGAACCTGGTTGGAGAAGCAGTCTCATAGCGAGACACAATCACGCCAGCAGGAAAGGGTGCTTGCTCTTGGCGGACAAGATCAGCATCATGATCAACATGTGTGGAATTGGCTTCGCTTATCAAGGACCAGCGTTAGGGAGCACCGATGAAGTGCTATACATCAGCACCCTGCTCGCCCTTGCAGCAGGAGAGACGTACCCGCTTACTCTGTTCGACAACAGAATACCTGCAAGGCTGCTCGAGACTACATCATGGTTGCAGCGGCGCCTTACAGACGACCTGCAACACGAGCTGTTTGTCTCTCGATTCAGACCCAGAAGTATGAGCGGCATCCATCGCATTTCCATGCAATACATCGAACTAGACATGGTCTTTCTTCCGGCTCCCGCCCGATGGACCAAAGCGGCAGACACAGACATCAGCATCACCTACAGAATCTTCCCTGAAACGATTCCTACCACACGCTCTGCAACACACAGACCATTGCAAGCGTCTTTTGAAACAGTGAGCCACCCATATGAGATACTCGATGAGCTGAGACGCAACTTCCTGGCCGGCTGCATCAAAAACGGTTACTCCTTCACCGCTCGACTCTGGGCGCAGCTCGAGAGGGATGTCGTAGGACCGAACTATAATCAAGGCCTATACAAAGACTTGTCGTCAAATCCAGTGCTACTCCCAGCCGCGCAAAGGCTCATCGCACAGCTCCTGCCAGTCTCGACATTACTGGGTGTTTTGTCTCCTCCCAGTTTTGCAGTCAAGGATGCGCAACTCTTTCTCACCTGGCTGACCGACCCACGATCAGTGTATTACATTGGCACCGAAACTAACTGTATCCAATGCTCAATTGATGGGGAAGTAGCCTTCAGTTCGAGCGCAATGTTCAATGAGAACTTCAAATCCGGTTCGGTCGAGGAGCTGCGAGCTGCCGTTCCAACTGACCTGCTAGACGAGGGCTGTATGCCTATCAGGATATGGCTCCTATGCCCGGGAGAATCTGAGGATGGCACAGAGAGGTGGAGGCTCGTGGGAAAGACCTTGTTGCTGGGTGACTCGGATCTGAGGAAGGAGGCTAACGAGAGCAAGGGAAGGGAGGACGCCGTAGTGGAAATAAGGAGGGTCGTTGTCGGTGGTTGAGATGTCATAAAGATTCTCTTCAACTTTGCTGATCCGTGGTGCATCGTGAGTGGTGCGGACATTGCTCGCCTTCCCGTGAAAGGTGAAGTGGCTGGGGAACCCCGGCCAAAAGCGCCCCGCAACCTGGTCAGTCCAGAACGTGCGTTGCCGAACCGCAAGCTTGACTCCCGGCATCAACCGCGGTATCTACGTTCCACATTCATTGCACATGACATCGATGTCACCTCGACCAGTTGCACTGGTGCGCAGATGGCCCCGCCAAACAAGCAGCCACAGCGAGCACGCCGAACGATCAAAGCGTGCGTGATCTGCCACAAGAAGAAAGTTCGCTGCGACATCGATGAAGTCCCAGGAGGCCGATGCACGCATTGTACTCGAGACGACTACCAATGCATGCCTCGAGAAAGGAAGAGGAAGAGGTTCACCTTCAGTCCATCTCCACCTGCAAGCCTCAGCAGAACGAAGACGCAAGACGGCGAGTCTCTAGTTTCCGAAAGCGCGCGGGAAGATTTCGTCAATCAAACAGCAAGTAGAGGTCTGAGCGAAGGAAACCAATCCTCCTTTCTTCCATGTAACGCAGCGGTGTCACAAGAGCAGGACCTGAAGTCCGAGGTCGATCTTGGCAGCAGATTGTCCAGCACCGCCAGTCTGCAGGAGCCTCCACCTTTGGAACGTCGGCTTGATCAATCGCTCACCTCACCCTACGGAGGCATTGCATCGAGCATGCCCGGGTCCAGCAATCGGCCTAGGAATAGCGTCAGTTATCTCGGACGCCTGGAATACCTTCGTGGCGACCTTCCTGTCGACGATGACTCCGAGCTGCCAAGCAAGGTGCCCCACCGGCTGTCCACCACAGATATCGAGATCTTGCGGATCCAGCAAGTGACCGAATTGCCGCCTAGATCTGTGCGTGAAAGCTTGTTGGATGCCTTCTGGACGCGGTGCTACCCATGGACCCCAGTCGTCGAGCGCAGCTGGATCGACGAACGCAGTCCAGGCACGACGTCCCTCTTACTTCAACACGCAATCTTCCTGGCTGGTAGCAGAGTCAGCGCTCCAGTCCCTAACTATCCCTCGGAAGACTTCTACAAAAAGGCAAGGTTGTTGTTCTGGATGGGCGCCGAGGACGACCCCATCATCAACATCGCGTCGGCGTGTTTGCTCCAGTGGTGGAACCCCGAGGGGCCTGAGCGGGTGTCTCTGGATACCAGCAGTTTCTGGGTGCGCGTCTGCGTCGGGCTTGCGTATCAGGTCGGACTGCACCGAGAGCCGAACGGGAAGCCAGATGCTGGTCTGCGCAAACGGATATGGTGGTCACTAGTGACTCGCGACTGCCTGATCAACGCAGGACACGGACGGCCTCGTGCAATTGATCTGAAGCTCGCTGATGTGTCGCCGATCTCTGCACTAGACTTCGATGGTGTAGCAGCATCCGCAGATCTGTTTGCGGCATATGTGGGCATCTCGTGTATTCTAGGTATGACGACTCACCAATTCGAAGGTGCTCGATGCTGACAGTGATCGAGGTGACCTCACGCAGAGCTATTTACGCAAGCAAGGGCTACAGGAGCAGAAGAAGTCGCTCGAGGACAGACTCTTCAGATGGCTCAAGACACTGCCAGACCACCTGCAGCTGTGCAGAACAACGGAAGGACGGCCCCTGAAGCCGTATAGCTTCGAAGCCCGCCAGGTTCATGCGCAGTATTTCACAGTACTAGTCATCCTCAACCGGCCGCTTGAATCCAAGCTGGCGCCATCGACAGCCTCGCTCCTAGCATCGTCGTACATCGCGGGTATCTTCGAAGACTTCATGGCTCGCGATGAGATTCGCTACCTCGGGCCCATCTTCACCTTCTACTGCCTTACTGCCGGCATGGCACAGCTGTCGTGCTTTAGGTATTCTGAATGCGTCGGTCTGGGCGAACAAAATCTCAACATCATGGCGCGGGCATTGGAGGAATTGAGTAGAAGATGGCCTACCGCAATCGGCAGCATGAAGCATCTGTAGGTGTCGATCATCCGAGACGATAGCAGTCACTAACTGGGCCTCAGCATGGATCTCCGCGAAAAAGCAACACAGCGCCCACACCTCGGCCGTTTTCCAGACATCAGCCTCCCCGCCACCACAGCCCAGTTCTTCTCAGACTTCGGCCACGACCTGTGCAGCATGTGGCATTACGTTCGCCCACGTCTGCCCCAGGCTGCAAACTTCGCGCCGCGAGAGCTCGAAATGGCTGGCATCTTGCAGGGCTTGCGCACGCCCAACAATCACCACCTCGACCTCAATGTCGCCGCCGATGTCACCGCTGCACAACATTTGCTGAACAAGCAGCTCACGACAGAGACATCTCTGGAGCCAAGCCTGTTGCAGCCACAGGAATGGTTTGGTCCGTACGCCATGGGCAATTGGCTGATGACCGACTGGGACCAGGGCGGCCTGGGCTGGTGAAGTCTTGCAATGAATGCCTCCTGAGCACAGTCTCACGAGTCGACAACATATTACTCGAACGAGTCAATCAACAACGAGTTACTAAGTTACCGAAAGTCGCCGCTTGGGATGCAGCTACCCCACATCTCCGCATTTCGCGTGCCGAGGCCCACCTCGGAGGATCGCAGTCAGCCCCACGTCGACAGCATGCCAAAGCTGTGCAGTGGCGCTGACGATTCATGATGCTGAACGCGGGTAGCACTGCAATCACGACGACCATCGATCAACACCCACAACCGCAATAATGGCGCTGGGCCCGTACACGAACATGCGCGTGGACCGCCACGACCGCGTCTTCGTCATCACCATGCAGAAAGCGCCAGAGAACCGTCTGAACGTCGCGCTCGCGCAGGAGATGATCCGCGCGCTGCGCGACATTGAGCGAGAACTCGGTCCAGACGCGGACGGGTGCGTCATCACGCGCGGAAACGACGCAAAGTACTGGTGCACGGGGCTAGATCTTGACGAGAGCGAGACAAACCCGCACGCCAACAGCGACGGCTTCTTCCCGGTGCGAAGTGTCCGACAGAGCGTTGGGAAGCACGACTGATAACAAGCGCAGCTGCTCGCGACCCTGCTCGACTATCCGTTCCCCACCATCGCGCTGCTGACGGGGCACACGTTCGGCGGCGCCTGCCCCCTCGCCCTCGCACATGACTACCGCATCATGAACGCGCAGCGGGGGTTCTTCAGCATGCCGCCGGTCAATCTGGGGCTGCACTTCCCCGGGATCGGGGCGCTGCCGCGGCTGAAGCTGCGCCCGCAGATCGCAAGCAAGATGCTGCTGGAGGCGCACCGGTGGACGGGCGCGGAGGCGCTAAGCGACGGCATCGTGGACGCAATCGCCCCGCCAGCGGAGATGCTGGACGTTGCGCTCGCAAAGGCGCGCGACATACAGGGCAGGGCCAGGATGGGTGTGTACAGTGTGCTGCGGAACGAGCTGTGGGGCGCGGCCGCGGAGCAGATCAGGCGGATATGTTATGTGCATGGGCAGAGAACGACGGCGCCTGCGAAGGCGAAGATTTAGCGTGCAGGGGAGAGGAGCTCGTGTTTGTCGCTAGCCAAGACATGCCCTCTGTTCGAATACCTCCCAGCTCTCTTTCCATCAAGCCCATCTGTCGTCGACATGTTTCCCTTTTTGCGTCTCGACAGGCTATGCGTTTTCAGATAGCGGTAGGGTGTCGTTGCATCACGCCCTCCCTTGATACCGACTACCCCCCAGCACCGCACAGGCACCTCCCAACCACGCGCGGCACCACAGCAACGAGCGTCGCACCCACCGCAGCCGCACTCCAGACGCCAGTAAGCCACTCGAACGGGTAATCCATCAAGTCAATCTGAGCCTGAGGCGACCAGTTGCAGCGTGTGCAGCAAGCCGGCGAGGCTGCCTTTGAAAAGGCGAGATGGAAATGCGAAGACGGCGCAATTGCAACGATGCTCTAAATAGTAAATATGAGGCCCATGCACAGCGAAGTGGCTATGCAGAATCTAGTTGCAGCTACTCACAATGGCCGCCAAGAAGCAGTACCTCTACTATATTGGCAAGCAGCAGTTGTTGCTATCATATCAAAAGATCAACAGAGAAAGAGTAAGTAATGCAATCGTTTTGTAATCAGAAGATAGGAGTGCGATTCTCGTGCTGGGCTATCTGTGTACCTCCAGCACTCACGTGCTCACCCTCTCAAAGCGCATCCCATCATTCAAATCGCAGTGCTCCAGCTTCCACTTGTCCTTGAAGTAGTACTCCCTCGGCGCCCAGGGGCCCGAGTTGCCGCACTTGGGCATGCGACTCGTGCTCGCCTTGACGTAGGTACTGTTCAGCGGGCTGAGGCTCTGGGGGTTCTCCTTCTCCGCGTCGGTGATGGTGGGGATCGCAGACGTGTAGCCGTTCTCGTTCATGTGCTTGATCACACGCGTGAATAGGCGACACGCACTGTCTGACCCTAGCGTCCACGAGGCGTTCCAGTAGCCGAAGATGTGCCCGAGGTTCGGCAGGTTGGACAGCATGGCGAAGCGCCACATGTACTCGCTGGGGACGTCGACCTTCTTGCCGTCGACGGCGAGGTCGATGCCGCCGAGGAAGCGCAGGTTGAGGCCGGTGGCGGTGATGATGATGTCGGCGTCCAGCTTGTCGCCGCTGTTGAGCACGATGCCGTCGCTGACGACCTCCTTGATGGTGTCGGTGACGATGCTGGCGCGCTCGTCGTGCAGGCACTTAAAGAAGTCGCCATCAGGACACACGCACAGGCGCTGCTCCCACGGGTTGTAGCCAGGCTTGAAGTGCGGGTCGATGGGAAAGTCGGCGGGCAGCTGCTTCTTGGCGGCGCCACGGATGACGCTGGCCGCGGCGCTGGGGAAGTAGATGCAGAAGTAGTACAGCAGAATGGGCACGAGGGTGAATTGGAAGCGCTTCCACCGCAGCACTGCCCACTGTGGCAGCACCCGCTGCCACCACGGCAGCGTCGAGCCGTTGCCCGGCTGCGACAGCGACAAAATGTAGCTCGGGCTGCGCTGCAGCTGGGTCACGTGGCCGACGCCGCCCTCGACCAACGCAGGCATGAGGGTGATGGCCGTGGCACCGCTGCCGATGATGACGACCTTCTTGCCCCGGTAGTCCAGGTCTTCCGGCCAGAACTGTGGATGCACCGTCTGGCCCTCGAAGTTCTCCACCAAGCCCGGGATGCGCGCGTGCATGGGCGTGTCGTAGCTGTAGAAGCCGGCGCCCAGAATCATCCACTTCGCCCAGTACACGACGCGCTTCTTCTCGTCCCCGCGGCCGACGTCGACGTCGACCTGCCACCGCTGCTGCTCGGAGCTCCAGTTGGCACTCGCGACCTTCGAGTGGTATCGGATGCGCTTCTCGAGGTCAAACTTCTGTACCGTGTCCTGCAGGTACGTGAGGATGCTGTCGCCCGTCGCGATCGGGTTGCGCGCCTTCCACGGGTTGAACTTGTACCCCAGCGTGTGCAGGTCCGAGTCGGAGCGCACGCCGGGGTACCTGAACTGCGACCACGTGCCGCCGAGCTCGTGGCGGCCTTCGAGGATGGCGTACGACGAGGAGGGCAGCTCCGTTTGCACGCGGTAGGCAGCATTGACCCCGCTGATACCCGCGCCGATGATGAGCACGTCGAGCCGCGTCTCATTGTCGTCGTAGCCTGCCGTGCGTTTGGCCGAGTGGGCGTGTCCGTTCATGCTGGGCGTGGCGTGTGACCCCTTCCGTCTTGCCAATGCTGACTGCAGGCAACGCAGGTACCGGTTCGCAATTGGGATTGATCTTGGTGTTGCTCGGCTGGGTTGGCAGATACCCACGTATGAAGATGAGCTCGTGCAGTGGGACAATCAAGGATACTATTGCATCAAGGCCGACGCCGGGGCGCACAGCTACATATATCGCCCACTCCTCGATACACTCTCGCCATCGTCCGCCGGGAGCTGTCTCGTCCGCAGCCAAGGACTCCGAGACCGACTGCAATTGGCCGGTTGAGTGCCCGTCGTCGAGTCGACATGTTTGCTGTTCTCGTCATTGCTCCATTTGTCTGCCCTTTGTGCCGAGGTAAGCGCTGAAACAGGCAAGGTGGCGCTGCGTTGGCCGCAATCGGCCTGGCGTCAACACCATAATTGACCGAGACCACGCGCATGGACGTGTGCCCGCAGATACGTTCGGATATAAGAGCCATGTACCTGTCTGTCTGGGTACATGTGGATGGAGTCACCGAGGCTCCCTCCCTGTGAGAGACTCTCGGACGCCGAGCGATTGCGCAAGCTCCAGGGCGACGGCATCTCTTGAGGGTGTATGAATACATCACTTTCTGTCACCAAGGCAGCACCGTCTCGACGACGCAACAAGTCATACCGCTTTTGTAGTGTACGGTAGTCCACACCCTACTCAGTTGCGGTTCAGGGACTCGCTGAACCGTGGTTGGGGCCAACTGGAGCTCTTGTTTCCCACCAGAAAAAGATTTCTAAGAAACGTAAAGCATGTAACCACAACTACAGTGCCGTGATCTAATCCTAATTCTGCACTCAAGCATCGCGCAGTTGAGAAAATGTCGCCGCTTAACCCCAGCTGCGAGGAGACTGCTCTATGCAACAAAGTGAGTAACTTACACTTGCAATTACGATCGACAACGCCGCAGGCTTAGGAAAGCCTTTGCCGGAAAGCTCGCGATCGAAAACACGGCTTCGTGGCTTTCGTGACGTGCTACGAGCCTCCAATCGTTGTGAACGCCAGTAGCAGGCTCTCCAAAGAAAAGAGAGCCACACGCTGAACGAACAGCGCCACGCCAGCCTTCCACACCAACGACAAGAGCGCCCAACTAACACCCCCAGCCACCAACAAGCCAACACGCTCCTCCGCCTCCCCGCCGAACTCCGCATCATAATCTACAAACACGTCCTGGACACAGCAACCTACACCCCTTGCCACTCAACATACCACTTCATTCCTTCCAACACAGCGCTGCTCCAGACCTGCGCGCAAATCAGAAACGAAGCCCTGCCTTACCGTGACACCTGGACGCACCTAACCTGGCGCCTGCCCGTGACGCTAGAGCACTGGGCGCGTATCAAGCAGCACGTGAAAGTGGTCGTGGTCAGCACGCTGCGCTTCGACGCCCGCGAGTGCCTTGTGAACCTCGTGCACATTGCGAACTGCGGCTCGCACCAGCCCGACGGGGAGGTGTTTAGAGGTGTTTGACAGGCTCTGGCGCATCGACGTCGCGCCGCACAGCATGCATGAGTGTTTCACCAAGAAGATGTATCAAAAGTCCGTTAGAAGGTGCTTCGAGAATAAGGCGCTTGAGGTGAGGTTTGAGCCTGTTCGGGGAACGCATGACTGAGTGCACCATGTATGATGCGCAAGGAAGAAGGATTTGGTTTGGGTACGTGGCCGTCGAGGCTAGCTACTCCATTGTTCATGTCGCCATCGAAATTTCGATGTGTGCACGACGCAGACAAGTATATACATGAATATGCTATCGCTTGAGACGTTTTACCGTCTACAAGTACTTGGCAAACCTGGTCCTGCTAACCCATCCCAGAGCAGCGATCTCGCGCTTGCTCATCATACTGACACTCTTGGCATAGTCGCTGGTTCCCTTGTCCGGCTCCGCGTCAGCCTGCTTGCACGTGGGCGTCTCGCCGTGCTTTCCGAGCTTGCCTTCAACAGCAGCGAAGTGCGACTTCTCGGCCGTCGCAGCAATCATGTTGGTAGCAGCGTCCGTAGGCCAGCCGTTGATGAAGTCGCCGTGCGAGCACCACGCCGATCCGCACGCGAGCTTGCCGGGGAAGGTGCCGGACCAGCCGTTGGGCAGAGCCTTACGCAGGTCGTAGCGGATGGAGAAACGCAACTGCGCCATCCGCTTCATGCCAGTTGGGCAGCGGTTCGTCGTGCCGTAGCTCGCCGACTTGTACGCTGTCTCAAGCGTGGCCTCGTTGACACACTGCGGGAATAACAGCAGCGTCTGCAGATGGGTGGAGCAGGTCTTGGACGGGAAGCCGTTGCTGTCGAGGGCCGAGGCTGCGTCGCCTTCGCAGAACCACGACACCTGTGCATCGGCGGGACTGGCGCTTTTTGTTGTTGCGCTGGCAGAGCCGGCGAGCATCTTCAGGTTCTGGGGGATGGCGACTTCGGCAGGTGTCTCACCAAGGTTGTAGTACGCACTGAAGCGCGAGACGGGGACGGGCTTGTAGGTCGTGCCATCGGCGGTGTACAGAAAGGTGGGGACCCAGTAGACAGACAGGTCGTTGGGGTTCTCGGCGCTGGTGCAGCCGGTCTCGAGCTCAGCAGAGGAGTTTGTGTTGGCGGTGACACCGTCAGAGCCGAAGAAGGTGTGCAAGTGGGACTTGTCGTACGAGCCAGGGTACACGATAGGGTCAACATTCTTGTACATGAAAGGCTGGCCGACGCTGACCACAGTGTAGGCAGTGGCGAGCTGGGCCAGTAGGCCGGCGCCCACGATGAAAGTGCTAGAAGGAGACATCCTGTGTCTGTTGAAACGAGTGTGGGTATTGAAAGTAAACAACGAAAGTGTGGGAAAGAATGGAAGGCGTAAAGTGAGGTGTCAGGCGCGTTCACTGCACTACTTATTCTTCAGAAAGCGCTGTCATGCAGAATGTGTTCTTCCTATTCGGTCGTGTTTCTCCTAGCTCGGTTTCAAGATACTCTTACATCGCTCGTTCAAGCAGACATATCAGCCTCCTTGATATCGCTAACAAGAGGCAGCCACAGCTTGGCCGAAAGCGTTGCCATTGTGGAGATGCAGCATGAACGCGGGTCATTGTTGCGATCCGCTCCTGTTGTGACAAGCGCGCTGATTCGTCACCGTTGCGGCTCAAAACTCTAGTTCCCGCGTTGGCGGTTTTGAAACACTCCCGCTCATTTTGTTCCAAACGCCAAGGAGGGAGTCGGCAATGCTCACCAAGGGCGTTTCTGTGGCTCAGTCGTCTTTAATAGGAGTGATCTCCGCGATGTCTGCGACAGTCTAGATGAGACAAGCCTTTGGAGTGCTGTTCGAGCCGTGGACCAGCCGTAAGCGTGTCGATACGTTCAGATCACATCGCAAACATCGAAGGGTCGCTCGTAAAGCGGTCGCGTACGATCATGTGTTGAGTTGTCGTGACTCGCGATGTCTTTGTGAGCTTAGACGCTGGCTTCGACCAGCCAAGGTAATTTGATGCATCTCTAGGCCGTGGCTAACAGAACACAGGCGATGGAGCGTATTCAGGTCCAGACCAAGTGGCTGAAGATGAAGGATGGGTGACATTCAATGCTAGGATTTGGATGATGAGTGACGGTGCGGTGCAGGCGAATGAGCGAGGATCGGTTGCGGGTCGGAGATTTGCCCTTGCCTGAAGCGGCTAATGCTTGTTCTTTCTCCATACCACACGCGAAGCCCACCAGATTGTTAGCCATCATCAACAGACCGGAATGGCCTCCACGAAGCTTTTCTGCAATAGCTCCCTTGAACCCAAAGGCATATGCGGTATCAGCAGTAGCTGAGTGAACCCAAAATGTAAGCTACGCGACGGTGTTGGTGTCAGGTGTCTAATTTTGGAGACTGCTTTCAGGCCGAAAATCATTCTCAAGATTTTCTTATCAATACAAGTCATCCGTCGCCGTGTTCGCAGCGTTTCTTCAAATGCAGTGTCGAGATCCCTTGCGCCTTAGAGTTATTCTGTAGTTCAACTGCAACCGAGAGCCAGAGACGCGTTCTGAAAAGAGAAGGGTGAGAGAACTGTACCAGTCGATCCTCATCGTCGATCTTCGCCTGCTGCGATCTAGAGATGACGGCTGTGGCGCCATTCGACAGTGTCAACGTCGAGGTTCTTTTCTCGTTGGCTGATCGGTGACCTCGGAGCGCCGACCTAGTTGCTGGAGTCTGCTGTGAAGCCAGGTCATATTGCAGCTTATCAATACTGGCGTTATAGACGTCCACGTTGTCACAGCCATTCCATGACCAAGACAGAGCAGCTCGCTTATGTGGCACTATGTGGGAGATCGCCTTGTCTGTTCGGCGGAGCTATGCTTGCGAGAATCTAAATTCTTGAGTAAGTCACTGCTGCTACAAACTACGCTTGCATTCTCTTGGTGCCTATAATGACTACAAATCATCGCAGGCAAATACCAAAATCATATGAGATGTATACATCATACATAGGTGACGCAAAGCTAATAGTGAAGACTCCTTAACTGGGTACATTTCAGGCTGTAGAGTCTGACTTGATTGTGAGCTTGCTGCTATGAGACATCACCTGCTACTGAATTTTTTTACAGGAACTTTGTGCAGATGCCAGAAAATTAACCCTCCTTGCTCTCGAAATTGAAGTTTCACTGGCCAAATCACTGCTGATACAAGCATCCGGTTATCCATACACTTCGAAGCCTTGGTTACAGAACACGGTTCTTAACGCCATCACTGTGCCTTCATGGTCTTGCAGAGCCATCTTGATGCTTTCCATGTTGCGTGTGTATTCGCGTTTCGTTAACTCCATGGCGATATTAACGCACTTGAGAGCGCTGAGTACCTCCTTGATTGTCTCTTGGGAGGGCCAGGCAGCTTCCAGCTGACGGTATCCATCATCTGTTATCCGAATGCGTAGATCTGCGACCATGCCGATAGTCAGGCTTAAGGTCTGAACAGCGCTTGAGCAAGACTTCTGGATAACGTCGATCAACTCCGGAAAGTACATGATATCGAGAACGGTGAGGGTGGCATGGCTGTATTCATAGCGAGCGGCTTCTCTGTTCATTTGTTAAAAGGCAAGAAGATTAGACAATCCTGGCTTGACGACGATGTAGTGAGATAAAGATCCAGAAAGATCGCGTATGGCGCGTACGGTCGCGATGGAGAAGGTAAATTCGTAGATCATGTTACGTAGCTTAGGCGGAAGACGAAGGAAGGGAGAGTTGGTTTGGTTTCTCAGCAGTCTAGACGTAGTCAGCATATTATGGAAATACTAACAATCAAAGATGAGGCATTCACATTTGGTCGGGATCATGTCCGGACACTGGTGTGAAGCCATCATGTTTGCTCGTAGTATCCGCTTGCATCATTTTTGAAGGTTATTTCTGGCTGAACCACAAGCAGAGTCGTTGATTGCAAAAGCTTTGGGTACGAAGGAGTCGAGGACACAGTCACAAAGTCTAGCATTTCTGGTGAATAAGTAGCTTAGCGTATTGGATGAACAATGAAGCGACCTTCACTTTCCACGTGAATACCTCCAACCTCAGGTGAAGCTGACCAAAAGCGTTTCTTCGTTAGTCACAATGCGCAAGGTACTTCCGATGACTTTTCGGATCGAATTGTCGAGCTTTGTACCACCAAAGACGACGGTGAAGTAAGCTACGTCAGCAACTGTGCGTTTGATCAGCTGCCTGTCGTACCAATCCCCCGTATGGCGCCCCCCAACACCGTTGTGAGTGCATCATGGCAAATCCGAGCGTCAACTCGATGCTGACCAATTTTGCACAGTCATGCTCGCCCACAAGCTTCAAAAGCTCCATCATTGTGATTGTCGCGTTTGTTTGAAGGCGACGTGTGGAGTACTGGTCCTTGAGATGTAAGCTCCCACTATGGATCTATCGACACGAGAAGGGAGCACCTTTGCCGCTTGTCGTGAGTAACTATCTATCGCGCTGCCCTCCGTTCGATAAATATGCGCAGTCAAAGAGCTCTATCGAGATCTTGGTGCGCAACTCTGCAGGGAGTCGCAAGAGTGGTGAGTTGGCACTGTTCGCCAAAGTGCTAATCCAGTCAGTGTGATCTCTCAGAAGCAGAGCAAAGTGCTTGCATGTCTTGACGAGCGATGGCACCACGCTTGCGCTTCTTTTTTGTTATCATTTCAATGTGTCAGAGGCCGATATAAGTTGATGTGGCGAAGTTGGGCATGTGGAGATGTAAGAGTCTTAGATATGGCCAGTGCTACCCAATCGAACGCGAGATCGGCTAGTCAAGATCGCACCTTCACCTGGTCTTTTGGAGGCACATCACATGTATTTCGAATCTTAGTTGTAGGAGCGGTGAGCGAGCTTAGTTGGTACGAGAACTGCAGTTTATTAGCGCACAGTAATACCTCATAGGCATGAGAACCTACATGGTCTCTCTCATAATTTAGTCGTTGATATCGACCATCTGCACATCTTCGAATCTCTTTGTTAAAACTTTCAAACTTTCGGAACTAATGGGTTGTGTTTGTTTAAGAGCTGATTTGGAACTTTGGAAGGAATGGCAGGCGTGTAAATGAATGATATTGTTTCATTTTTACTTTCCATCAACTAATAATGAGGTCCCATCGTACGACTTTCACCAATACCCGCAGCCGTCATGCCCCACCTGGTTCCTGATGCATCTGCGAAACGCGCCACCCATTTCCTTTCTGATGCGCTATAGGTGCGCAGTTTGCTCGTGCGGCATCTCATCCCCAGTATACTGCTGCGCGGAACTCAACCTCGAGATCCATATTGCCGAAGAGCGTCTGCAGAGAGGTCTCGACATTGTACGCGTCTTCGTTGATATACGTAGGGTAGGTAATAATGACACGCTTTAGTAGTGGGAAGACTTGATCTCCGCTTGTAGACCATGGTCCGGTGTATGATCCCTGTACGGTAGAGCGTCTGATCTGTCGATGTATCGCGCCAGCAAGGGACAGGAACATGCCGATCTCGACAACCCGAGCACACTGAGGACCTCCCACCCAATTCACTAGATCTGGAAGGTGCCTACTTTCTATCCTGATGTCGAGGTGGCTGTACGTGGAACCAGTCTGGAAGGGGCGTGCCTCAAAGCGTGTCTGGCGGCAGACATGGAGCAGACGTGAACTACTCAGAACAACGCGGTAACGTCCAGTTGACGTAGGACTCAGGACGCGCTCCAGTGTGGTAGCATCGGCAACATCGAAGATGTACTCGTAGATCGTGTTGCGAATCTCTGCCGGCAACCGAAGTAGAGGGGAGTTAATGGCATTGTGTTGAGTACTACAACTGTCAGAGGGGGGATCGTTGCGGTCATATCATGGAAAACTTACACTGCATCGTACTCGTGAGCAAATAAGCGATACTCCAATTTAATGGGTCTGTTCATGTTTGTCGCTGCAGTTCAGTGATGATCCTACGAAGTTTTGGTGAGCGGAGAAAGTTGACGGATTGAGAGCTATTGATGTCTACAAAACCTGGCAGAGTACAAACGCCCAATTCTGGCGTCACTCTCACCTCGACTCTGTACATTATCCAGCTTCATCAGTTATAGACGCGAATAGCTGCTCATCTTGCGTGTATCGCAGACAGATACCTAATGAAGGTGAGGGTAGCAACAGCGCCAGCATAGACGCCTTTCCGAAACAGGCTCTCGGATGGCGATCAAGGCGGAGATCCACCATTGACGGCGAAGGAGGATTGTTCAAGGTTTGGTTTGTGCAGGATGGATCCGCCGCGTGACGTCACGTTATTGTGAATGGTATGTGGGGCGGCGCGGAGTGGCTGCGAGAAGGCGCGTATGACCCAGTCAAATCAGATCAATGTCTTGCAACGAACAAGCGTGGTAAGACCTCTTCCTAAACATACTCACTTCAACAACATAGTGATCCACGCTTGTTAAAATGCCTGAGCCTTTCAAGCTTGTCTTTGTGACCGGAAATGCTTACAAGCTAAGTAAAGCGCGAACCATCCTTGGACCAGGTGCTCAGCTCGAGTCTATCGCTTTAGACATTCCAGAAATCCAGGAACTTGTTGAGGAAATAGCGGTTGATAAGTGTGCCGCACAGATTGTATGCCCTGCCGAAATGCACAACCTCACTACTGACATTAAGCTCAGCCTCAACGGCCAGTGCTGATTGATGATACAACCTATCCTGGGGTCACGTACATTTTCACTCCTTAGACTGACTTCTAACTTGATGCTTGCTTCGCCCTTTCGAAAAGCCGCCGCAGAGAAGCAGTAAGACCACCCCTAGTTACCAGCTTCAGAGGAGTCAAGTGCTCTAAAGGTCAGCTCGCTTTTGACATCGTCCCGCTGAAGGTAACCGTGCACCTCTTATGACTAATGCACTAAACGATACTGTGGAACGTTAGACGCAGCAGTTTCTATCCATCCGTCGAATGTCCGTCAATCATAGAATGCACTATAAGCAATATCCGACAATACGGGGCAGCTTCATGGCCGAGTTGGCGACACGTATACAGACTTCTATAGTGAGGGAAGTTGTTGCGGCAAACGTAGCCGCTGTATATCGATGGAAAACTGCGCCGAGTTGCTTGCTAGCTAGGAGGCGACCATATATACATGCCCTGAGACGTGCTAGTCCAAGGTATTTAACGGAGGTGACGATCGAGGCCTGTAGGACCGACTTGCACCGCAACAGAAGTATTTCCATGACTCACGCGGTCTCGTACTGCTTGACGCGCGTGTGCATAAAATGTGTTATGGTTGCGACTGAGATCGCAGGTGCGAAGGCAATGATGTCTTGGCAGAGAGAGTTTATTTCAATTTGACGTGACAGCAGAAAGCAGAGAGGTGGAGAGAGAAATCAAACAGCAGAAGGTATTTATTTGTAGTGTTCTCGGGCTCACAGACCGGTTCCGCTCGATAGTGTGGAATGGACATGCGGCAGCACCATCGAGTATCAAGATGGTCAAAGAAGCCAGCATGTGAAGTGCCGTGGTCGTGATTGTAGGTTATCTCTGCAAGCGATGTGTTGAGATGTTGTGCACACAGCTGTCATGACGTGAAGGGATGGCTCGATATAGAGTCGTGAATACCTTTGTGCCTCGCCATGTCACGCATCCCGCGCCCATCTCCTCAACGGCGATTATCTGCTGAGATTTGCAAATCATCAGCACTACAATTGCCGTCAGTTGTCATGAGCTGCGGCTGGGATAATCGGAGCTGACGCTGACCGACTATCATCATCCGATAATCGCATTCTTCTCCATAGCGCTTTAGGGGCCCGAGGGGATCTTCGAGGCAGAGCTCGATGTTGATAATGCGGTTGTCATTGAACATTTTGTTTGCAATGACCTTGCTGGGGATGCGGCGGAGCGCTCCTGCAAAGCAACGCCAGCGAGGTTCGCTCTGCACCCACAGTTTACCTGGGCAGCTTTGTATAGCTACCGCTATGCCTAGACTGGCGACTCCAAACTCAAGCAACTGCTAACGACTGTTCTAACTGTCGAGTTCCCAATGTCACGTATCGTAAGCCAGAGTGGGCTAGTGTCCGAGGTACATGCCGCACTGACCCATTGCTAAGACGCATCATTCGGAGACTAGTACTGTTTGGTCCTCTTGTGGGTCTGCCTCGAACGTCAGGCGCTGTGCGCAAGATTGAATTTCCACTTGCAGCAGGAGGAGGATTCTGGAGGAGGCCTCAGGATGGCTCAGAAGTGCCCATTGGTCTGAGTGACTCTTCATGTAGGCGCGATGATCCAGGCTTCCTGCCACTTCTTTTGGAACAGAGATTCAGCAGTAGGGGAGTCTAACCAAACAAGTTTTCGAAGGCGGACGACAAGGTCGTCCCACGCTCGCAATCCGAGAGCTTCAGCAGCCCTGTGAGCTTGTATTGTGAACCACCGGCCTTCCGGAGATCCTTCAGAAGCTACCATGCCGATTGATAGGAGCCATAAGGCGAGAGCATCATGGCTGAGAAGCATGTTGAACCAGGTGTACTCCATCTGCGCTTGAAGCTTGAGTGCTGTAGCGTATTGCAGACGCGCATGAGAGAAGTACGTGGGCCCATGGACAATGAGTAGATAGAGTACGGTGGCATGTCGGACGATGCCAGAAGCAGCCAGATCATAGTGAACGCCCTCGACTTGGGGCTGAGGGTCCCATAGTAGCAGCTTGTGGACAGCATAGCACGTCAGGTCATGAAGGTCGGTACTGGTCAGCGTGTACTGGCTGGAGTCGAAAAGATTGTGTAGCCGGCCAAGAACATCGGCGATCTTGGGGTCAAGGAGAGGAGTGTTGACCAGCATTGGGACCAGGTCGGAGATGTTGCTGCTCGCTTGGTACCATTGCGGTATCGGGGCAATGCCGTCACCAGGCCCAAAGTCGTCTTGAACTTGGAATTGCGGTGTTTGCATGACAATCATGCAGACCCTTCTACAGGTCAGTCGGAACAATATGAAGGACTGACTGATGAACTGATACGTACCAAGCGACCATCCTAGCCGTGAGGGGGCTCATGCGCTTCAGAAGGTCGATACCACCTCTAAGTTGAACAAGACGTTTGACACCATCGATATGCAGCGCACTGACGTCGGCGTTGCCCTTGCCGTACTCGATAGCCGCCAGCGTGATGACCGAATCCAAGGTTTCGTCTTCCAGCGCAGATGCTGGATCAGCGACCTTTTTTCGAACAAGCGAGACGGAGTCGGCCATCAAGAGTTCCGAGTTGGCGAACCCTTTTCGCGCTCGCAGATCCATGTCAAGTGACGCAGTCTGAAGTGATACGTGAAATAAAGCGGGGTCTGCCAGAGCGAGAGGCCACCAGGAGACCACAAATGGATTGGAAGTGAGGTCGAGATCTAAAGGGTAGTACTGGAAGGCAATATGAGATAGGACTGGGTGCTGTCAGCAGTCTATTTACCAGTGATCTACCTTTAGACTTACAATGCTGAATCAGTCGCTGCACGTGTGGTCTTGGAAGTCTTGTCTGAGGATATGTATCAAAAGGGTCAAAAGACTGGATCCCAGGATTCGTGAATGTGACCACTGAATTGCCTCCATCAAGCGACGAGGCCCTTGACGGCGGCGAACTCGTGCTTTCTATTAGCGCCGCGGACACTGGCTGGTTGGCGTATACACATGGTGAGCCTCTCCTGGCGCATCGTGAACATTGTGGCGTCGTAAGATTACACGACAACTTCGACTTCGCGCAAGCGTCGCAGGACCTGCGAAGCGTATTGCGCATCATTTGTTCGTGACCGCATGACTCCAATGTTTGTGCAGAGCAGTGCTCGGAAGGAGCGGATTGCTCAGCAGGTGACTTCGCCTCGCTTAAAGCCGCGGCATCCCTGTCATCAGCCCGAAGGTTCATGCCTCAAACTATCATGCGGCAGGCACGACAGTAGTTATACATCTCTCAAAACATATCCCCACCTCTTGAAAAAGCCCTGCTCTGAACGGCTTGACCACTCGTTCACGTGCCTGCCTCGCCAGACGACTGGAGACCGGTGAATTTGCCCGGCTTGGCGCGAATGCAGATGATCCATTCGTCAATCTTCGCAAAACATTGCGTCTCCATGACCAGGAAAGATGTCAAGACTCAAGAATGATATGTGGAATCTGCTGGTCTTGACAGGATGAGAAAGGACAAGAAAGCGCCGCATGTCGAGGAAAGAGGAAGACGCCAAGATCGGCGCGTCTTTCTCAACATCACCGACATGACGTCGCGCGCCTGATTTCTCCATAAACAAACGAGAAGGGTACTCGAGCTCGTGCGCCCATAGCAGCCTTAAGAAGCGCCGATTGATTCGCTGCGGCAAGGATGCAGCTCGAACCTGTAGCGGCGGTGAGGCGCCAACGCATCGTCACCCCAGCCTCGCGATTTGCATGATTCGCGCATTCGAGGCCCACCAGCCACCTCACGAAAGGGTAGTAGAATCTCGAGTATCTTGCGCAACATCGCCCTGCATTCCTCGCCCTGCATCACACCGAAGCCACGAGCTCGTCCCGTGCAGCACGTTCCAGAATGCACATCTCGACCCTCCTGTCACTGCCGTCGACCGTATTGGTATTGCTTTGCACGCCCGCAGCAAGCGCAGAACTCCAATGGCCTCACAATCTGCCAAAACACCTGAAGTATTTCCCGGAGGACGAGCGACATGCGAAGCGAGGGCTGGACATCAAGGAGCGATTACGGCATGAGAAGCCGGTCGGCATGAAGAAGATGAGCACAGATGAAGGGGAGATGTTTATGCTCGACAACTGGATATTTGCATCAGCACAGAGCAAGAGATCGGGTTACGAAGACGTTGGGAACGGTACATATCAGGCACAACCGCCGATCAGACCGAACGCTGCGGACGAGTGGTTTGAGCGGTTGCGCATCAGAGATGTACTGCTAAAGAGACAGTTCAAGTGTCCAGAGGGCACGCTGAGCTGCTCTTCGATTGGCGCGCCGGATGTGTGCTGTGGGGGAAGCAGCACGTGCGTCAAAGTACAGGACAGCGATATTGGCGATGTGGGCTGCTGTCCAAACGGACAGGTGTGCTCAGGCACTATCAGCTGTAACGAAGCTGCGGGCTACACGTCGTGCCCCAGCTCCTCCAATGGCGGGTGCTGTCTGCCGGGATTCCAGTGTAGCGGTATTGGCTGTTAGTCTGACGCCCCTCGAATCAATAACGTTGTACTGACAAATCGTAGGCGTCGCTGCTGGAACATCCATCACGTATGTCCAACCATCCACGTCTGCGCCGCCTTCATCGCCCTCGACATCAAATGGTGCCGCCCCTACATCCGCCTCAGGTTCTGCAGCACCAACGACTTCTCCCGCCCCCTCGTCTACACCAGCGCCATCGTCGTCGCAACCGACCTCGGCCTACACCTGCTCTACTGGCTGGTTCTCCTGCCCCGCCAGTCTTGGCGGCGGCTGCTGTCAGAACGGCCGCGAATGTGCAACAGGCGCATCCTGTCTCGGCGACGAGTCATCAAGCACACAAGCACCATCAGCGCCCGTGCGCCCCACGAGCGAAGCCGCTACAACGGCCACCCCAACAGCGTCCGAGGGCGACGTATGCCCCACCGGCTTCTACGTCTGCAGTGCCTACTACCCGTCCGGCTGCTGCAGAGTCGGGCGCGACTGTCAGACGACTGGATCTTGCGTGGTTCCGTCTTCGACCACGGTGATTGCGACGAACGGCGTGACTGTGGTTGCGCCTTCTGGGGCTACTGTTGCTACAGATGGTGCTGCGCAGGGTGGATCTTGTCCGAGTGCGTGGTTCAGCTGTCCGGCCAGTCAGGGCGGGAACTGCTGTCCAACTGGATATGCGTGTGGAGAGCAGTGTACCGCGACAGCGTCCGGGGTGTCGAGTGTGGAGGCCAAAGTTGCACCAAGTACAGCGTCTTTTGTACCGCAGTGGTCGGTGTGGGGAATGATGTTGGCTGCGGCGGCGATCGGTGCTGCCATGGTCGCGTTGTAAGGAGAAGAGATGACGATATACGACTGATACTATACGGTTCGAGCTTTTGTAAATACGTGACCGCCCATTCCCAGCACGTTTCTAGCCAAGGCACATTTTCCCGATATATGCTCGTATTCCATTGTGTGAATGTTGTCTCCAAGATGGATGTTTTGACAACCACCATCACAGCACTAGCGTCCCCAAAATTAAGCGTTGCCGCACGGACGGAGAGCGTTATCGGTTATCAAAAAAAGTTGCGTCTCCATCACGAGCGCCTGCACGTTCAACACGCAACGTCAGGCCTCTCACACTGCACAGCCAGAGCATGGCGCCCTCCACACTATCGCCCGACACGTCGATTTCGTCGCGCACGCTCTCAGTCGGCTCTACGCAACCCACGCCCATGGAGCTCTCGTCCAGCCCGAGCACGAGCCTGCTCGCCAGCCCGGTCGCCTTCCTGCAGCCTACTGCTGCACTCAATGCTGCCTTTCTCGCCGCCGCAAAACGCTATCTCGACCCTGTCGCTGCCCGAATCAGCGAGACACAAACTCAGCGCCAGCAGGATGCGCGTCGGAAGCGCAAGCGCGGGGGCGACTACGACGGCGACATGCGGGTACTAAGCTTGAAGAAGGTGCATCTGGATGGATTTGGCGTGAATCAGGTGTTCGAGCAGACGCGGAAGATTGTCGAGGCCGCGACGGAGGAGATTGAGCTTGCACTGCCCGAGCACGACGACGATGTTGTGGCGGTAGACGGCGAGGATGAGGTGGAAGAGCTGTCAGACCCCGAGGAGCAGTACCATACGGACTCGGACATGGGTGAGGAGGGCGTGGATTACGAGATCGACGGTATTGATGACGACGAGGACGCTGTGCCCTCGGACGAGGAAGACGAGGAAGACGAGGAGCATGTCGAGATGGACGACGGCGAGGGCATGCTCTCTGATGAGGACGAGGAAGAGGAGCCTGCCGCAGAGTACGTGCCGGATCCCAACGGCCTCAACGACGGATTCTTCTCCATCGACGACTTCAACAAGCAGTCCGAGTTCCTGGAGCAGCAAGACGCACGCGGCGAGGCAGGTGACAGCGACGACGAGGACGTCGACTGGACAGCAGACCCCATGGCAGGAGGCGTGGGCGGGAGCGGGCTCGACAACGATGGATCAGGCGACGAGTCGGACGCGGGCGGCCCGACATTCGGCAACGTGGACCTCAACGCACCCGAAGGCGACAGTGATGACGAAGCAGAGCTCGACGAGGGCGACCTCGACGGCATCGACGACGGCATGAACGCCAACAACGTCATGTACGCTGATTTCTTCGCGCCGCCAGCCCAAAAAGCAGGCAAGAACAAGAAGAAGCGCGGGCGACCCAACCCCCACAACTTCCCCGCGAAGACGGCAGCCGATGAAGAGGCCGAGGAGAACGCAGAAATGGAAAATGCAATGGCGCGCGTGCACCGCGATCTTTTCGAAGACGACGACGATGCCGAAGAGTCAGCCGCCCTCTCCGACGTCGACCCCTCCGACCCCAAGTCCCGCAAATCCACCCACGAACGCCGGCAAGCCAAGCTCCAAGAAGAGATCCGCAAACTCGAAGCCGCCAACGTCGCAAAGCGGCAATGGCAGCTGTCCGGCGAGGCCCGCGCCGCCGACCGCCCTGTGAACTCGCTGCTCGAAGAAAACCTCGAGTTCGAGCGCGCCGGCAAACCAGTCCACGTCGTCACCGCCGAGCTCAGCGAGGACATCGAGGCGCTGATCAAGCGGCGCATCCTCGCCGAGGAATTCGACGAAGTGCACCGCCGGCGCCCGGACGATCTAGCAACAGGCCCCGTGCGCCGCGGCAAATTCGAACTCGACGACACCAAAGCCAGCAAAGGTCTCGCAGAGCTATACGAAGAGGAGCACCTCCGCCTCAACGACCCCAACTTCGTCGACGCGCGCGATGAAAAGTTGAAGAAGGAGCACGCCGACATCACAGCGTTGTGGAAGTCGCTCACCGCCAAACTCGACAGTCTGAGCTCCTCCCACTTCAAGCCCAAGCCCGCGACGCCCAATCTCGAGATCCGCGTCGACGCGCCCGCGATTGAGATGGAAGATGCCCGCCCCACGGCCGGCGGTCACGTCGCAGGCGCCAGCATGCTGGCGCCGCAGGAAGTATACAAGCCCGGCGACGAGCAGAGCAACAAGGAAATCGTCACTAAATCCGGCATGCCGCTGGCCCGCGAGGAATTATCGCGAGAAGACAAGGCTAGCAGACGCAGGAGGGCGAAGGAGAGAACCAAGAAGGCCGGGCTCAATAAGCCGCGGAAGAGCGAGGAGGAGAAGAAGAAGGCCAAGAAGGGCAAGGATGGACGCGGTGATAAGAAGGCGCTTGTTAGTGATCTGAAGAAGGGCGGTGTTCAGATCATCGGCCGCAAGGGTGTTATTACTGATGCTGAGGGTAAGGGTGTTAAGGAGGCTGCTAGGAGGGACGCAGGGAGCTATAAGCTGTAGATCCGACGCGCTGGTGTTGGTGGCGTGTGTGGAGTGGGATGCAATACATCACTTTCTTCGTTCACTCGCTTTCTTCGTTCACGCACCCACCGATCCTACATCTCGCGTTGTAGACGGAGTACTCGTACTGAGTGCGCTTGCTCCTCGGCATCTTAGCATCTTGAACCAGTCGACGTTGGAGGTGTCGCTTACTTCAGGCCTTCATCGTCTTCGTCCCGTTTCAGCTCTGCGTTCTGGGCAGGTGCCGCAGCCATCTGGTGTGCGCAAGGGGGCAGTGTGCGATCCGGGATCGCGGTAAGTATCCTCCGGGAGGATCTTGTGTGAGAGCATTCGCCAGAGACGGCGGGAAAGTTTTCATACGTACGGACATCTTCTTCTTTTTTCGTGTGGGTAAGCAGTCTGGCTGCAGCAGGTGACAAAGTCTTCATGATTGTCTGAGAAGCTTGTTGGGCCTGGTTGCATGTCCATTGGCTATGCAGAATGATCGTCACGCGTGTCTGGATACGACTCGCTTTTTGTTCTGCCGTCATGCAACTCCTAACACATGTTTCGTGTGCTTGCGCCCAACGACGTCTTTCGGAATGTTCTCAACCTGTGACTGATTTAATGACTCTGGCCCTCTTACATCCCAGTATCAGGTGGATCGATCCAATGAAGAGGCGGGCTTGGCAGTCGAGGTGAAAGTAGGTCTCGAGATATAGGAAGCTTCCTCGCGGATCTGTCGGCAGGTGGAGGGGCGGGATTTGCCTTCCTCCACGACTATGTTTTGGTGAATCGTATTCAGGCATAGCTTAGACTATAAGAGCTAAATCAAAAGCATATGCGTAGACCTAGTTACGCAGCTCGGCAGGCAGACGCAACAGTGGCGATTGTATCCGAGTTTAGCAACCGCTGGAATGATCAACTTGTGTGAAACGAAGTGCAGCTGAGGTAGCATGCTCACTCTGAACTCAGGTCTGCGACCTTACAGAGTCATCGCGCTCTCTTCCAACTGCTGATCTGACATAGTTGCTTAGACAGCCGACCTGATACGGCTGGAGTGAAGCTGTAGCCCCACACACGGTGAGTCGGCAGACACTTACGTTGGACTAGGTTGCAACAATCGGTTAGTGACTTGGCGCCTCCTTCACCTTCACCTTCACCCGCACCTGTTCTGCCTTCCTTCATTCCACCAACTCCTACCAGGCTGAAATCAACTACAATGAGTCGCATAAACAGTCCAAACGACGAGCGAGCGATGGTCTCTCAAAGTGAGCTCGAAAGAAGGTGCGCAAGCAGTTATGCCTGACCTCACGTTACTGACGACGTACGCTGCAGGACTCAGCGAAATACAACAGATTCACTGCTTCTACAACTGCCAGCTGAGTTGCGCAACAAAGTCTACGAATTTGTACTTGAAGAGGCCTTCGTGTTCTTGGACGCCACCTACGACTTTGATGGCTCCGAGATCGTCAGCGTCACACGAGAGTCGCTGACTCTGCCGCAAGTCTGTCGACAGATACATCACGAATGCCTTCCATTTCTGAACACCTTCAGTACGCTGACTTTCAGTGGCCTCTGTGCATTCGAAAGCCTGGAATGTACACTGGACAACCTGGGTCACAACTTCGACAAGGTCAGAGTGCTCAAAATCTCGATGTGGACACTGACGATCTTACCATTGGGTCATGTGGTACGGAAAATGTTCAAGTCTCTTGAGCAGATCGTTGTTCGATCGTCGAATTTGGGCGCCGGACACATTGAGCAAATTCGCTCCTACTTCGACAGACCTAACCTCGAAATCATCATGAGCCCCGACCCGTGAACGCGGGTACGCACTGGGGAGTCAAGACTTTATTCCCTGCGATATCCAAATCAACCCAACAACAAGATATCAACCAGATAGTCGCAGCCACTCACGTTGCGGAGGAAAGCTGGAGGATCGGCTCAGGGTGTTCAGAGAGGTTCTCAGTAGTTCCAACAGGATATTCATTTGAATCTTCATGCCTCCCCTCTATCCAGTAGCCAATCTCACCGAACACATCGACTAGCTCGGTTTCTATATTTCGCGACTTCACAAGCCGACAATGCGTGGGTTCCCGAAAATCACACAATGTATGTGCTCTCAATACACAATGCAGAGTATATTTCACTCGACCCAGCACCCGGCGAAATCAACGCGAGTCACCGCTCTTGCGCCTACCTGCTGAGCTTCGCAACCTTGTTTACGCCTTCGCGCTCGACTCTACCACAATCCAGGTGAGATGACGGAGATGCAGCGACCGTCGATACTACACATTCTGCCCCGAGAACCTACACCTACCCCAAGTCTGCCAGCAAATCCACTACGAAACGCGACCATATCTGAAAAGCTTCACTGTCCTCGACCTTAAGGGCGAAGAGTGCCCATTAGGCAAGATAGAAACCTGGCTGGCGCAGAGCGGGCACTCATTCAACGCAGTGCGGGATCCCGTCATCTCATCTGGCGCGAGCATCTTCCCAAACTACACGTAGGTGACGATTCTTTCACTTCAGAATCAAAAAGAAGCTTTTTTTCAGGTATTCCTACATCCCAGTTAGTGTGGTCGTCGAAATGAGACGTCAAAGTAGCATCCACTGGAGAGTCTCCATGAGCTACTTGACCATATCTCCCACCCATCTCCCCAGCTATCCATACCAAAGATAAACGACCTCGACGCCATATTCACCCCTCTCATAGAAAGCGCTACGCTCCCAGCCCAGCTCAGCAATGCGATGTGATGTACATTGCGACAAAACCTCCCTGGAGATCTGAAAGCCAATCCAGTTCAGCGCAACACGCAACCAACCCGCATCGCCTCCGTCCACCCGCCGAGCATGCAGCACCCATCGCCTGTCACTGAGAACTGGCCCCATTAGCGTGAGACATTTCGACGCAGACTCTGCTTATTTCCAAGGCGTGAAGTACACCCGCCATAGCCTGGCTCTCCCGCACGTATGCCGACAGATCACATACGAACTATCCCATTTCTCGCCGCCCACACTGCACTCTTCCCGGGCGCTCTCTGTCATCCTATATACATGCTAGCACCTTCAATTGCTCGGGGCAAGTGCTTTACGGCGGTAACAAGAGCCACAATTCACAGTTGATGGTTGAGCAGTAAGTCCTAGGGATCAACGCGCTCACCACCTTACCCGCCATGTTTAGGGCTCTGGACAGCGTGGGTATCAGCAAGCAAGTCCTTGAAGAGAGTGACGTCATCATTGTGCGCGGCTACTTTGGTAAGCCAGGTCTCGAGGTTGTGTGCGCGAGAGAGGCGAGGAGTTTAGACGAGACGCTGGGAACTAGACTGGCAACACATCAATCAGTGATGGACATCGATCGGGTCAGCTTAGTCTCGTTTAAGATTGAAGTTAAACAGTAGGGACCCTGAAATCGTATGATACAGGCCCTCTCCAATTTCCGCGATGATTCGACACTATGATAGAGGTAGTCCGCACCGCACATCAATTTGAATCTTAGTGAAAAAAAAAATGAATGTATTCAAAGAACCTCAGCACCAAGAAGGAACGCCATACCCGATGAGCCTGTCACGGCACAGCGTCGCTCCCGTGCAACTCCCCGCCCACCCATGACACCAAATTGTTTATACATATCCCGCAATCCGATTCACTGAAGAAGACTTTAAACCCACGACTGCTGCTTGTTCACCGTCCTCGGGCTGCCCGCAATATGCGCATGCCCCGTCCTGGCCAACAGCTCTGCATCACTCGCCATGTGGTCTCTACTCGTGCGCCTGTGCTCCTGACTCGCTCCGAGAGAATCCTGCAGATGCAGTGGGCGAGTTTGTGCAGACTGCGTCTGGGTACTCGTCTGGCCGGGCAAGTGATCGAAATCGTTCTGGTGGGTTCGACTCCTTCCAAACTCGTCGCCGGAGCTGCGTTGGCCGTCGCGCGAGCTGGAGGAGTGGTGGTAGGAGGACGTCGTGCCGTCGATTCCGCTAAAGGTGCTTTCGAATTTTTCCTTGTCGTCGGAGGAGTTTGCTGCAATACGGACGGCTTCCTGAGCGGCGATGGCGGCGACGTTGGGTCGCTCGACTTCTTCGGCTGTTTCGGGGTTCTCGGGTGGCTTGAAAAGTGCGTCCTGTGCAATATCAGTAGGGTCCTTGTCTGTAAGCGGTCTCAGAAACATACCTCGTGGTCATCAAAGTCCTGTCCGGGGTTGACGGTCTGATACTCGACCATTTTGATGATCCTGTAGACGCCGAATGCTAGCAGAGTGCCCATGAACGGACCGAACCAGTAGATGTAGTGGTAGCTAGGGAAGCTGTGGGTGACGACACAAGGTCCGAAGCTGCGGGTAGGGTTCAAGCTACCACCGGTGTAGAACACCCCGACCATTTCTGCAACAAACAATGCCAGCCCGATTCCGACAGGCGCGAGGAAGGTAGCCTTGTGCTTCTCAGCCGCAAGCATGAAGATGGTGATGATCAGCAGAGACGTAAGGAACATCTCCATGAAGACGCCCTGGGCGATGGAAACACCAGATCCGAGGGTAGTTGAAACGTTCAGTTGACCTGGGAACATGGCAGATACGACGGCTGCGGCACAAATACCAGCAATCATCTGCGAGATGAAGCAGAGAATTGCGCGGACCGTGGTCAGAGCACCGATGAGATAGAGCCCGAGCGTAACCTGGAGGGGTAAGCATACTGTGTGAGAGTCGAGACTCGAGTATCACTTACAGCAGGGTTGAAGAGCCCACCACTGACACGGAAGAACACCCAAACGTTGACCATTAAGCTGAATCCGAAGATCAGACTGATGTAAAGCAGCACGCTCGTATTCGGCGTCTGCGTGATACTGTTCCCCTGCTGACCCGCAGTCGCAGCGTCGCTATATATGGCCGCTGTATTGGCGACTTGGGTGCCACCGAACGCGAAGAAGAGGAACAGAAAGGTACCGCAGAACTCAGCTGTCATGGCGACAAGCTCGTTCCGCCATTTGCTAGTGAACCCCCTCTGCTGTTTCTTCTTCTTTTTAGATGCCTTCTGGACGATATGCCCGTTGGCTCGCTGGCGTTTCTCATGGTGGAGATGTTCCTGAAGATGTTCTTGGAGGTGTTCGTGAAGGTGTTCGTGGTGGTTTTCGTGATGGTGTTCCTCTCCAGAATCTCTGTCGCCCTTGTGGAGCGGTAGTATATTCTTGAAAGCCATGTTAATACTTTAGTGCTGTGCAGCAGTCATTAAGAAAAACAATTACAAAATTGCAAATCCACGGAATATTCGTCCGTAAATAACTGAAAAAGAGGGGGACGGCAAGTAATAGGGTGCCGTTAGGCTGAGCGGGAATTCAGAACTCCTGAAGGGCAAGCGTGATGAGTGACGTCTGTCCCAGACAAAGAAATCCGACGCCAGTGGCGCTCGACGCAACCATTGAGCGTAGCGAGCAACAAGCGTCCACTGCGTACGTGCACTCGCGATTGGCGACGCCGTGAACGTCCCTCATGCACTCCATCAAATCCCCAGCCCCCGGATCTGGAGGCCTTCAAATCGTTACGGGGCAATCTTTCATTCGACGAAGAACCCACACGCAGTTGTTCTTCCAAACGTTGCTACGTTTGAGCCGTTGGCAGAACGCAGAGACCGGGACAGTCGACAAAGACGTGCTACACGTCGCTGATCGCTCTTTTGTACGACGGCGACTGGGTGATTCTGATGGTGAGGATGTGCCGCGCCGTCGATGCAGTGGTTGATCGGGGCAGGCAAAGGGCAAGTGGGGCCCGCTAGCGCGCATCAGCCGCGGCAGGATGAGGTCACTATTTGTATTTTGGCAGTTTCAACTTCGACTTCCGCGGCCAGTGGAAACGAATACGCGTTGCTAGATCTCATGAGTAGTTGTCGATGGTTGGGAGATAGGGTGTGTAATACTCGTGTCGACGCGGGATTGCAGCCTGCCTTCTGCGTCTGCGATCAAGCAGGACGAACGCACAGGCAGAGGCATAGCCATACATTATCCCGATCCAAAGACGCCTGATGCATCGGCAATTAGAGCATTGTAATCTTCTGTATCGCACCTATTTGACTGCGGCGATGAAAGCTGCTCAAACAACGCTGGGACTGAGTGGAAGTTTATTTTTACAGTTTGCGTGTCTCAACCGTCGCCAACCTCGTATCGACATCTGGTAAAGCGGATGATCTGCAGACAAGGCTGGCGTAGCGCGTCAATGAGTACTGAAACTTGGGACCGGAACATTGACGATTCGGAACGTGGATGCCACGATCGCTGCAGCAATCGAGCCTGGGGCATGTCAACGATCGTACTTGGCCTGACAGGAGCGGCATTTCCGTGTTAAATTATGGTTCTCAGCCTCTACCGCAGAGGCACAACTTCATCTCTCCACCTCTCAAAAGGCCTGCCCGCACCTCGCCCAAACGCGCTTCGGTCTTGTACACCAGGAACCAAGCCAGGCAATGCGCGACCAGGATGGCGACAGCGAACACGAACGTGACGAACCCCATGGCGACCAGCAATATTTGCCATAGCGGCATACTTATCTTGCGGTCTTTACCGGAAGGTCTTGGGGCGCCTATGGGAGCTTGCTTTACAACGTCCTTAGGGCTGCTCTTGCCAGTATCCATTGGACTTTGCTTCGCAGAGTTTTCGGAGGGATCATGACCCGTCACTTTTCGATGTTCATGAGGGATGGCTTTAACGTCGTCTTGTCGGGATTTCGGTGAATCGGTCGAAGGGTGTTCGCAGGGCTCGACAGACAATCTTGGACAAGAACGAGGGCACGTTTGGCAGAGCAGACCCCCTCCAAATGGGTAGGATTCCTTGGCTGCCGTTGATGCAACGTTAGGCGGCTCTGGGACTGTGGATTCAGAGCCAGAATGACCAGAATGGTGGCAGCGACACCTTCGGTGCCCTCTGGTCTGGATAGGTGGGGTGCTTTGCGGTAGGTAGGTCTCAGAGAGCAGCGGTGATCCATCAAGCGGCGACGGCAAAGACTCTGAATCGGTCGGTAGAGGTGGCATGCTTGCAGTCTGTGAAGGCCTCGACTGTGGCTCACTAGATGGTCCAGCTTTCATGCCGTGCGATTGCGATTGATTCTTCGGTGGAGGACGCCCATTCAGTATCTCATGCGGTGATTGCAATCGGTCATACTCGCTCCCGTCCATCTCAGTCACGGGGTCTGGCGGGAACAATCTCCTTGCAAGACCTCGTGCTTCCAAATCCCGGCCCGTTTTGCGTGGTGGTGAAGCGTCCGTAACAGCGTGCCACCGTCCCACGGGACTCTTCCCAGCGAGCTCAGTCCCTGCAAGCTGCCTTTTGAATGGCGGGTCCCAGGGCTTCTTGCCTGCTCTCGCCTTTCTCAGCTCGACTTCTTCTTTCGACGAGCGTCTGCCGTCCGCACACGCGTCGCCTTGGAAGGTGGCCCTGGATGTACCCGTATACCATCTTCGTCCACCCGAGGGCGCCGCGGCGTTTCCAAAGCCACTTTGCTCCTGCTCCGGGTCCGCACTTGCGATTTCGAGACTGGCCTCGGACCAGGATCGTGCGAACCGTCGCAGGACCTCCCGCGCTCCCGATGGTGATAGTGTTCGTTGTCGTAGTAGCGTGGATCGTGTTTCTGCCTCGGTCTCAGCGTGCACTTCCTTGACGGTCGCGAAGCGAGGCAGCTGTACGCAGATGATGGGTAGGCAGATTGCTAGCAAACAGGAGACGAGGATGATGTGCCCTGCCATGGACCGTAGGTTGCAGTGTAATACTTAGATTTTCGGAGTCTTGCGCTGGAGGTTTTGTGTAGGATAGAGATGATTGAGGGTCGACGCAGGACAGCAGTAAAAGATATCTCGTAGGTAAATGCTGCGTATGATGGTGCTGATGCCTGCGCCAGTCGATAAGTGAAGTGCTACAGTCCTGCAAGCCGCCCCTTCCTGTTCATTTTTTAGCAGCTTACTGCAGGCAAGACACGGGAGGCACCCACGACTGACAGTGGTCTGCTGCACGCATACTCACAGTATTGGGTATCATTTGAGGCCGTACGTTTTGCAGGCTGTGCAATGGTGACAGAAGTTTGTACACAATGTCTTCCACCAAGCTTCACTCTTCCATCTCTTCACTTTCGCCTTCTTCCACTCCCGCCGTGTTGCCCTCATCGTACCCGCCTTCGCCCTCCTCTTCGTCCGAGTCTGACCCTTCGCCCTCGCTCTCGCCTTCGCTGCCAGGGTCGAAGTCATCGTCCTCTTCCTCGTCGTCTTCCTGATCTTGAAGCTCCCGTTCTGCTTTCTGCAGTTCTGACTCTTCCTCTTCAGCCTGCGCGCCAGCTACAGCTCCATTCTCCTTGCCCTTGTCCGCCGGCGGGTTGACGTTGAGCTTCTTCGCGCGTCTCTCGGCTGCCATGCTAGCATCCTGCAGCCCGTGTTTCTGAACGTACTCATTTATGCCTGCAAAGTTTTCCTGGTCGAGCATGCTGAACTCGATCTCTTGTGTTTGCGTGGTGATGACAAGGTTGAACGTGTTGCGCAAGACGGCAGCGTAGGCTATGCTGTTCACGGCGGCAAAATCGAAGAAGGCAAGAGGCTTCTTGTAGCCGTAGAGGATGCCAACGGAGGTGAAGAATAGGTAGCCTAGACAGACATGTCAGTGTGGATCGTGGTGTTGTGGTGCATGTCGCGACGCACCTTCTTTGCTGCCCCTGTGTGCCTTGACGTGGTACGCCTTCTCGCTCTTGCGATGGCTCTCGGGAATGGCGCTGGCGAACTCATCTGCATCAGGGAAGATGACCTCTTTACCAGTGCCCGCTTGCATCAAGCAGTGGTGCATCGCCTCTGCCATCGGCCCCGGTCCCGGATCCTCGCCCTCGACAATATTTTTCCCCGTCGCCTCCTCAAACGTCCACACGATCGGCTCTGGCGCGGAGGCTTTCAGTTCGTCCGGGACTGGGTTCACACCATCGCCGTGGACGGGAATGACGATGAAGTTGTACTGCTTCTTGGCTTTCTCCGGCACGGGCAGGCAGAAGACCTGGTCCACGTCCGTCCACGCCAGCGCAAACTCGACATTGCCAGAAGGGCCAATCGCTCTTATCCCACCATCCCTCTGGTCGACAAGTTCAAGTGTGAACTTCTTGCGCTGAGGTATCGAGAAGCTGACACCAGTGTATGTCTTGAAGGCTCGCGTCGCGGCGCTCGTCAGGCTTCCACCGACGCCTGGTACGGGTACAGCTGCTGTGCGCCCTGCCGCTGCGCCATCCGGTGCGCCATTCGGTGCGCCATTGCTCTCCTCAAGCTTGCGTTTCTTCGTCGTCGATTCGGCAGGCGACTGAGACGTCTGGCTCAGAATGAACGCCGAGATATCGCGAAAGAGCATGCTCTGCGAAGGGTCCTGATCTATGGCGGCGTGCACACGCTTGCGCAGATCTGAATTGGCTGCAAATGCAGCATCGATCTCCTGTGGATGCCGAATGGGTACGACTGGCGCTTCAATGGGCTTAGCCGCCGGCGCCCGCACCGGCAATGGCTGTACTGGAGGCTGGCTGTTGAGCGCTGTGAACGCCATGGTCGTGTGTTTGGGTGTTGGTGAGGAAGACGCGCCCGCGCGGACTGCCCAAATTTACGGTACGTCGCTGACATCACAGAACAACCATGCTTCTTCACACGCTTTACGCCTCAATAAACATCCAACGTTTGTTTACATGCAGGGTAGTTGATCATTTTATAAATTGATTATCGTTCATCATTTGAATATATACAATCATCCCCACCCAACATCCCCACCTTCAATCAAGCCCTGTAGCGGCTGGGAACTGCAGCCTTGAGGAGTTTGGGGAAATTAGGCGTACCCAGACCTGTGACAGGGTCCCATCCAGCAGTCGCGTTCCAGCTGGCATACGGGATGACGGGGCTGCCGTTGGGTGGGCCGTTGAACCTGGCGTGGCCGTCGCAGCCCGTGCTTCCACCGAGGACAACGTCGTTCAGCGCATGAGGGTTGGAGTACAGCAGCGGGTTCAGGAAACCCAGGGAAGGCTTCTTGGACCTCAAACGGGCGTCGTTGAGAAGAGCTACCATACCACCGAACGTAGGCGCAGAGCAGGATGTGCCCTGGAAACCCTTGAGCACACCCTGGTCGTAGACAAGGTAGTTTACGCCCTGAGCGGCGACGTCGGGGAAGCCACGGCCGTGACGGTTGAAGTAGGGCTTGTTCTTATCACCGAGCGTGTGGAAGTAGGCCTTGATCGCATCGTCCTGGTATGAAGGGCGCGGCCAGTAGTTGGAGAAACCACCAGATGAGAAGTAGGTAGCCGTCTCGTTGAGGTAGCGGGTAGAGCCGACAGATGTCACCCAGGGGCAACTGGCAGGGTACTGAGGCTGGAACATGGTCGTATTCTTGCCGTCGTTGCTCTGGCAGGCGGAACCGACACCAGAGTCACCAGAGGAGAAGATGACACTGACACCGCGAGAGCTGAGCTGAGCGAAGAGATTGCAGACGGACAAAGCGTAAGACTTAGGGACGCTCTGCTCGTTCTCGCCATACGAGGTTGAGATGACCTGGGGGAGGTCCTTCTGCGACATTTTCAGGACGTTTTGGAGAAATGCAAGGTAGGGCTCGTTGGCGCTGTCAGACTCTTTGGGCTGATCGAGATCTGCGACCCAGGGACCGCGGCCACCCGTGCTGAACTCGGTGACGGGGAGGGGCTGGGCCATACTGAGCATGTACTGGGCGTCCAGGTTGGCCTCACCACTGTCATCGGAGGAGTTCTGGTCGTTAAGACCGCCGTTGTACTGGATGACAGTAAAGTTCTGACCGATGGCCTCCGGGAAGAAGTTCTTTTCGAGCAGAGCCAAGTCGTTGTAGCGAGCGTACTCCTCGAGGTAGGAAGCGAAAGCTGCCTTGCTGCCACTCTTCGCTTCAGGCGTGTAGTCGATCTGGTAGAGCTGCTTCAAGCACTTAGGGGTGATGCGAACATCACAGTTAACGGTGGCATTGACGCTGGCGGCTCCCTCAATGACTTGAAGACCGGATATCTCCCTTCCGGTCTCGTGGTTTGCGCGAATGGCAGCGAAGCGGGTGGTAGGCTGAACGAGGTTGATGTAGGAAGCAACTTCCTCAGGCACAGAGTACTCAAGAGCACGAAGGACCTTGCGGGGCTTCGCCTCCTCAGAGACGTACCAGGCGAACTGGGTCTCGAGCATCTTGTTGGCAACGCCAACAGTGGTCTTGAAGGTGACCCAGTCGGCATCCGTCTCGACATTCTCAACACCGGCAGCCTTGAGCCAGGCCGCCACAGAGGAGGACGCCTCCTCGGTGGGGAGCAGCATCTTCTTCATCTCCTCATGCGACTGGAAGTGCTGTCCATACTTCTTGTTGCTGGGGGTCGACACATCCATGACGTGCTGCTCGAAAGCCTCAGCATCACCCTGCTGGAGCGCAATCTGCAGCTTGAGGACCTGGGAATCGTCGGCGAGGCCGGTGGCCTTCCATCCTGCGATCAGTCAATACGTGCCATAGAGCAGTAAAATTCGATTGTACGTACCCTCAGGAACAGCAAAGAGCTTCTCGAAAGGTTCTGCAAGGCCCCTTGCCGCCAACAAGGAGCCGATGAGGAAGCTGAGAACAGGTGCCATGTCTACTACTGGTGCGATTGACTTGAGCGAAAGCACTGCTGTCCAATATGGTACCGTCCCGTGTTTAAGTACTCTCGACCATGACCCCTCGTACCTGCATCTTGTGCCTACATCTTGTCTCTCAACTGCCTTCTCCAGTTAGCCGTGAATCGCCTGTCGCACGTTGCTATCGGCACAAAACCAAGCAAAGTCAAGCCTCCCATCGTGGGTCTTGACGAAGCTTGGATGACCTCAAGCTCCTGCCATTTTGGGCACTAGGGCGCGATAATATGCCTGGCGCTCCGTGCCTGCCAGGCTTTAGTCTGCATTAGAAGGAGATGAGGTTATACCGCTGGAGAACATGATTGGCGTAAGAGGTGCTGCTCCACCGCGTTTCGCAGTGTGCACTCGATCCACCTTCCTAGAACGCGATGGCACGATAGGGAGAGTGACTAACAATCGCAACGACAACTTGCTCACCAGCGACAACTTACAAATGCCACCGGCTCGATATTATAAGATTGAGGGCCCACAGTGGCTGCCGCTCACGACCAACGACGAACAGACTGCCGTAAAGCTCGAGACAGGTTGTCAGATGTCGACTGCGTCACACGGCGAGCAGCCGCAAATGACTGAAAATATATAGAACACTACCAATGTTGAATTTCACATACGACCATAGGACGTTGAAAACAAGGCTTCCCGTTCGCTCAGCCCTATTTAAGCAACGTACCGGCGGATTAGTAGTTAGGTGGGTGACCACTAGCGAATACCCGCTGTTGTATGTTTTTGTTTTTTGCTGTCACCCATTCGCTTGTCGCCTGAGGCGCCTTGAAGCGGCTGTCGTCAACGTCTCCTATAGCCGTTGTGTGTCCCGAAGACGGAACTGCTCTTTGCACAGGTGGAACGGACGTTGGAGCATTTTAACCAAAGATACAGAGAGCACGTCCCTAGCAGAGACTCTTTATCAGGCGTAGAGGATATAGCTCTAGCTTTTTCCACCTTAACAGCTTAAAGGTACTTTGTTACAATCTGCAAGCATGCTAACTTTGGAAAGAATATCTGACGGCTACAAAGTACAATATCTACACACTTTTGCCGCAGGATCGGTCCGACTTTGCCCCAATAAGGAACAGCAAGACCACCGTCTGTTTATCTATCATCTTTACGACCAACCCGATTATTCCCAACACTCTCCTCGGCCCGTGATTGCTATCCGCAAGGCTGTGACTCGAAGGCTAATACCACAGTTCACAGTCCGCACCCAAATTACCGACTGTTGGAAGCTCTCAACCTTCATGTCGCGATTGTATTGCAGCGCTCCGGGCCCGATTCGCTTTGTGACTAGATGGGCTTCATAGTCTATAGATGTAGCTATCAGGACGGCGCTGCGTGGCACACATTTATTACTTCCTAAATCCACCGTCTTTTCCCGAGTACGACGGCTATACATGGACGGAGAACGCCTGACATAGACATTCCATATGATGACCAAAGAAAACCGACCAGCCCTGGAAGACGCTAGTCCGAACGAGGTGCACCTGGCCTGGGCGAGATCAGATCCGCGTTATCTTGCAGGGTTGGCGGGAGATGGTGAAAGCAGTGACGAACGCTGGACGTGGTGTGATTTTTATGTACATGTTGACACCGAGGCCCTCTAATCGTGTCTTGAATGCATTGTTCTTCCTATAGGAACAGGAAGTGTACGATTATCCAATAACAGACGGAGCTCATGACACGGCGCCTTTTGTCAAGATTGTTACCTGTCGGGTCAACCCTAGGTATGACAGGCTGCAAAAAGTAGTAGAGGATTTGTATGACAGAGAAAGGTTGCAATGAAAGTGTTCCTGCCAGAAGAAATGACCACCATGTACGGTGAAGTCAGAGATGGGGTGTTCGACGAATGGTTGAGTGGTCAAGGCTGCGATCATGATGGTATGATTTATTCCTGGCGTCTCGCACATGTGTCACAATTACCGCTGAGCTGAGCATTTCAAAATGGTTCCTATGCGAATCTCGGTCTTGATCTTTTTCAACCTGCCCTTTGGCCTGTCCGCCTCCACCTTTCCAAACTCTTCAAATGACGGAACGTTTCCCGTCAGCGCCCAGGAGGGGCGATTCGACGCGTTACACAAACGCGCTGGCGGACGTCGCATCTTCTGTGCGCCAGAGCTGGAGCCAAGTCGACGGTGCAGAACACCCCTAGCGCACGACGGAGATGTACTTCGTCGATATTCTCCAGGCCGTTCTCCCACTCAACGTGGGCCTGGACGACGCCACGACGCATCATTTCCTAGCACTGTACAGCTTGAGAAACTGCCTCCTCTCACAAGACGAGCCCGACTACGACAAGATGGCGGCAGACTGTGGTCTCAACTTATTGCGCCTTGTAGCAACCGTGGTTAAATATAATGCGCAGTCGCAGTGCACGTCCTTCGCTGCTTCGAGCCCAGACGACACGAGCGCTGGGGGCATGGAGTGGATGGATAGGTTCCGGAGTGAGTTGGCTAGGTATGGCATGAGCCTTTCGGACAGAGGGTGCTTCGCGTACGAGTCTGAATGAAGAGGGGGCAGACATCCTCTGTTGGATACTTGACTTGGAGTGACGTGGAGCGCGACTTGGAATTTCAAGGACATGTGGATATTGGAGTTGGACATGTAGGTGGCTAGCAAATAGTCGTTCTCTCATTCTTCACGTAACCATGACATACTCCAAAATCGATTATAAAAACCCTTAATATCGCACCGCCAAAACGCCAACGCACGCAAATCACGTACAGCCGAACGATCAAAACACCCCAGGAATGCGGCCCTTCTTCTCGTTGCTGCCGAGCTCCTCCTCGCTCCAGCGGCTGCCAGCGCCAGCGCCGACCTTGCGCCCGCCCTCCTCGCGCTTCACGCGGCACCACAGACTGATGTCCTTGTCCATGACAAACTGCCACATGACGTAGACCCAGCTCTTGTGCACGGGCAGGTCGTCGTAGAACTCGTGCGCAATCCGGTTCAGCTGGGGCAGGCGGGTCCACGGCACGGCGGGGAAGTCGTGGTGCTCGTTGTGCAGGCCGACGTTATACGTGAGCAGGTTGAGCACGCCGTAGTACGAGTACGTCTCCGGGACAGGGAGGTTGCTGGCGGGGTTGGTGGCGTCTTTCTGCCCCGGCTTCTCGAAGACGTAGTGCTCGGCGATGAAGTGGCCGGCGCAGGGGTGCAGCGAGCCGGCCAGAAAGCTACTCAGGATCAAGTAGGCCAGGGCGCGTGCCCCGGCGAAGCGCACGAGGGCGTAGTCGAAGGCCAGCTGAGCGACGATGTTGAAGAGGTGCATCTTGGTCAGCGGCAGGTTGTAGATGAACATGGGCCGCAGGGCGTAGAACAGGATCTGGCAGGTGCAGAAGAAGGCCTTGCCGGCGACCGAGTCGAGAAACCAGGCCTCAAAGGCCGTGGGCAGGTCCGTGTCGAGGCCGTTGACGCCAAGCGACTTGTGGTGGGTGAGGTGGTACGGGCGGAACGAGGCGCTGTACGGGATGCCGATGGGCAGGTTGGCGAAGACGGCGATGAGGCGGTTGGCCAGCGGCGCACGGAAGGCCAGATTGTGCGAGATCTCGTGGATGGCGAGGAACAGGTTCTGGTTGGCCGTGGCGCCGACGACGTAGGCGGTGAGGAAGAAGCGCCACGACAGGAAGGGCGTGTCGCGCAGGAGGACAGCACAGGCGATCTGGATGGATACAACGAGCAGGACGACGTATTTGGTGAGGGGCTCGGGGCCGCAGAGCTTGGTGACCTGGCGTCGTTAGGATCAGGTTTGGGGCGTAGGATATGTGGCATTGAGGCATTGACATACCTCTGGATGGGCCTTGATAATAGCCATGCGCCGTGTGCGGTGCGGCTCCTCAGTATACGTCCAGAAGAAGTGATCTTGGTCGTGGTCCGCCTGCGCCGGCGGCTGCTGCTTCTCAGCCGTGACGGTAAAGCTGCGCCTAGCCGGCTCGCGGGGCGGCTTTGTCATCGCCGTCGTCGTGGAGGCCCGCATTGTGGGAGATATTGTTGCTGCGAAAATGAGTGTGACTACTTCGTACTGGCCGTCGTTACTGTGCGAGCGACGCCATGTCGAAATGTCTGCGGCCGCTGAGCTCCCCTGGCTTGGCGGGGACCCTGTGGAGGCGAGGACCGGGGGCGGTGGGCTCGCCGTCCGATTGGCTAAGAGCAACGCCACCCGCCACCGCCCATCAGGGGCGCGGCCAGACTCAGCGCCTGCTTGCACGTTTTTGGCGTGCACGTGTCTTTGGCTTGCACGTGTCTTTGGCTGGCACGGTCCTTGCTTGCATATATTCAATTTCTAGAGACCTGCTCGCATGCTGGGCTTCCTGCGCCTGCCATTGAGATCGCGCCAGACCTCCCTCGCAACACCGCGCCAGTTGCCCACCTCATCATCGTCGCGCCCGCGCTTCATGAAGCTCGACCTCCTGGTCTCGACAAACCACACGCTGGCCCAGTAGCCCGCGCCTAAGCCCGTGAAGACGGCGCTCAGCCACACAAACAGCAGCGCTGTTGCTCCCCGACCAATCTGAACCCCGACCGTGTTGCTGAAGCCACCCACAGCGCCGACAAGCACGGCTATCGCTGACGCTATGACTGCGGCGAGAAACGCGCTCGCGCTCGCCAGCGCAGGCCAGAACACGTTGGCGTAGACCAGGAGACGCGAGTGGGGGAAGTACACGGCCGGCAGAACCGAGACGGCGGACATGAGTGACGCGACGAGCGCGATGACGAGGAAGGCGAAGATGGCTACACGCAGCGCGTTCAGGGTGCCCAGGATGCTTTCGAGCGAAGAGACGAGCTTGGCAAGCAGCGGGACCGACACCCGCGTCTCGCCCACCACGAGTGACGAGCGGATCCTCCTGCTCAGAGCTGATAGGCCTGCGTCCTCGTAGCTACGGCAGTCGTCGATCTTGGCTCTGTCCGCGTTGCTGCCGTCTTCTCCGGCGCTCCCAGAACAGACCTTCTGGAGGTAGGCGTAGTAGAAGTCCTTGATGCCTGTCTGATTGACCAAGTTCGTGACTACACCGTTGATAGCATCGCCAAGTCCATCATCGACGGCATCCGTCAGGTTGTTTGCAAGATTGCCCAGCAAGTCGCCAAGGCTGTTGAGAGGGCTGTCTGGATTTTCTGGGTTGAGAGGACTGTTGGTCGACAAGGGATTCAGCGAATCGAGCGGATTCGATGTGGAAGACCCTGATGCGGGAGCAGCCGGTGTCGTCGACGAGGCGCTTGCTCTCTCGAACGTGACTATGTCTTGACCAAGCCTGGAGGTATTCAGCTGCATGCACGCGTTAGATTCATAAATTGACTGGCTGACAAGTGACGTACAGCGACAAGATATTGCCCCTCTAACACGCCCACGTTCTGTCCAGCCAGCACCACAACTAGACTGAGGGCGAATGCGGCGAGCGACAGTATGAGTGGAAACACACCAGAGAATCGGTACTTCATCAGCACTCTCTTTGGCGTCTTCGGCGGTGCGGGCAGCGCCTTGAATGTCGATTGCCGTTGGTCTCCTAGGTCAGGTTCGATGGAGATTTTCTCCTCCTGGAAGACGGGTGGGTGCTGCACGGTAGCCTCCATGGTATGCGCCGTCTGTACAGTCGCGGTGCGCCTGATACAGAGAGTCGTGCTATCGCATCGTGAACTACGGCTCAGTTCACATTAAAGCTCAAGTTAAGAAGAGCAGTAGGTAGAGGGAGTGGGGCGTTCACGCAGCCATGACGCTATGTTTCAGTACACTAAGACGAAGCGAGTTGTTTCTGGGAATATTCCTGTCCATGGGTGTGTGTGGGCAATAGTCCCGGGCAGGTGAGCTGTCGCACCAGCGGGGGGGGGGGGGGGGGGGGGGGGGGCGGTTAGCCTGCGAATGCGTTAGCACCCGCAGACATATGAACGGCCTGCCTGGGTCGTGCCGTTCGCAGACTGAAAGCGCGATGAATCGGGTTGGTGCTGCTGGCAAGCTCCAAGCGAAGATATGGCTAGACTCGATGTCGCGCACATGTCGAAAGATGCATCTACGTCAGTACAAGCACCATGAAACAGCGATATGACAACAATGCCTTTCCAAAAACAAACAAGTCCAATGATCGTTCTCGACGTCGAGGTTGGCAAGTGATGATGCAAGCTTAGACCTTGTCCAAGCAACAAATGGTGCGACATGAACAGCTTCAGTCATCTGTCAAGACACGGATGACCTCAAACCGGCATGAAGCAGCCCAGAAGATGCCGGAAAGGTAATGCGATCGCAATTTTCACCTCTTTAGGCTGCATAATCGACTGATCTTCGATGCTGTTGACTCGCTGCGTCTGGACTCGACGATACAATGCCTGCGCAGATCGGAAACATAATAGTGCCAGAGTAACGCAATCTCCAGTCTGTTGCATGGTTTCTGTGCATTCAGTTGAGACAGCCAGGATGCATCTGCTTTGGGGTATAGTCCGCAAAAGACCAATCAACGCCTCTCCAACTCCTCCTTTGCGTGGCCATTGTGCGTTCGATGGCAGCTTTCCTGTATGCAGTGACTGGAAGCGTGCAGTTTAGGGCGCTTCAACGAAGGGGACGCAAGGCTCGTGGTCAGTTGCATTTCATGTTCAGACTAGCTAACCTTTCTGTGGCCCCTTAGAACGGAGGGTGTTGGCCCTGCGCTGGTTGGAGATCCGATGGAAATCCACCCTTGCAGAGAAGTTAGCTAAGTTCTTCCAAGAATGACCTATGTTTGTATCGTACCCAGAAACTCTGTGTAAAAGCATCCAAGTCCATGGGAATGTCGGGCATGAGGAACGGATTTGCGTAGTCACGAGTGAACTGGTAGTTAGGATCCGTAGCTTCGGCGGTGAAATCGTTGAAATCAAACGATGACGCTGGGGACGTGGTCAAAGCCTGCTCCGGCGCCATGTTTCCTGGAATTTGCTGTCAGAGACTATGCGTAGTTTTAAGTCCCGGTTAAAGCGTCACTTACTCCATGTTTGGCTTTGTGGAGCGCTCGTGCTCGACGTCGCCCTATTGAGCACCAACCTGACTGCAGCTGCCACCTTCCGTGCCTCGTGCGATCTTTGGCTTGCCTTCATCCATATTGCGTGTGCGTTTTGTAGCGCCTCGATGATGTCGGAGCGTGTTGGCGGCGCGTGGTCGAGTTGAACAGAGCTAGAAGGAGTGGAAGGCATGTGTGGTATGGGTGAGGTGAGATCAGCGTCCAGGTCAAGGACGAGAACCGTCGTTGCGAGAAGGAAGTCATGGGCCACAATCGAGGACATGTACCAGCTGAGAGTGAAGCTTTGCATTGCTGGAGACCACAACTTTCCGCCTGGTCGCATTTCACTCTCGACTCTTTTTTGGAATCCCAACATCTCAGTTGCGGCGTTCAGACATACTCGTCTCGAGTAGTCGTAGCTGGGATCGGTGCGACCGAGTAGCAAGTATGGACGATGCAACTGTAGCTCGCTCTTCAGGAACGATAATCCGAGATAGCATCGCCGCATTGAAGCCGGCGAGAGCGTTTCGTCGAAGTCTTCTCCTGGTATCGATTTAGCGCAATCTGGCAGCTGTGCGTAGACCTCTCTGAACATGGCATCTAGCTCCATGACTTCGCGATATGGAGGTTGTGACGTCGAGTTCATCAGGTCCATGACTCGTGCATGCGCAAGCCGCACACGGGTCAGAACCACTGTGTACAGAGACGACGTCAGCTCAGTCTCCGGTCGGGGAGGAGGCAATTCGAGGATGTCTTCATGGAGGTCTTCCTCAAGCAAATTACTCGGCTCTCGCGTGTCGCACATGAACGGCTGAATGATTCTAGGTAAGCCGACTTGAGATGAAGTAGCGAGGTCCAGTGACATGACCAGCAGCCACGTCCTGCGCCTCATCTCTGCTCTGAATGGTGGGATGTCTGGAAAACGCGACGGCTCCCTGTGATAGCCCATGCGGAACGCGATCCGGACAACAATACCGACAAGAATGGACATGCTGAACTGTGAGTCCACCGAGCGTAGGTACTCGTTGCCAAAGTACATGATGAGAGTTTCCACGGTGTATGGAGGACATTTTGCGTAATTCGCAAGGATAAGACACTGAACGAGCTTCTCACGGTAGAAGTCGATGCGCGCAGTGAACAGTGAGAGCGTGGCTCCTCCTGACAATACAGCCCCGTGATCTTCAAGGCCTGACTGGAATTGTGCACCTAGAGCGAGGATGGAGAAGAATAGCCCGAGCCACATGACCGGCGTTTCGAAGGGTTGATTCCAGAACTTCTCATACTAAAAGAACTCGTCAGTCATTCTTTCGTCGAATCTATGGGGGGCTCTGACTTCTTTCAAGAACGTCGGCTTGTGCACCAGGTCTACACCTGTTAGTCAAGGCCACACAAGATCTGTCTGCAGAGCATATGGGTCTTACTTGGCGATGTTTCCATGGATGCGAAAAATGTGGAGATGAGCTGATCGGCTTCTGTTCTTGGAGGTAATGCCGCGAGCAGCTCCTGTTTCGACGCGTGCCTTTGGCGACCAAACAAGATTTCCGGACCCGGCACTTCTGTGGAGGTGTCATCTCGTGCGTGGGCTGTAGAGGGTATCTCATCGAGATGTTCGCGAAGCTCTGATATCTGCACATGCGTCAGTGGAGTGCACCAGCTCGATGCAGGTTACAAACCCCGTCCAAGATGCTAGCCCAATGCGCACTATTCGTGTAGCTCGTTGTGTCACCGGTGAAGCGTACACGGTCTGGCATGTTTGGTATTTCGGCATCTTCGTCGAAGTGCTGAAGATGTGGCATAGCAGGTGTAGTCGGAGTTCCATGGTTGACTTCTTTGCTGCCCATGAGCGACGTCACAAGCTTCTCCAGTTGGTCAATGCGATCGTGCACACTGTGAGGTACTTTTGGCTCTTGGACCGTTGGTGCGCTTCGCACGTACGTGCATGATAAGGCAAGACCTCGGTCGACGCATGTTTTGCAAGGACTTTGACGATCGCACTTCAGCTTCCTGCGTCGACAAAGTGTGCAACTGACAATGGGCTTGTCTCGTCGACGACCAGGAGGCACCACACGCGTTGTCGAATCTGAACTCATTATTGCGAAGTGTGGGGATGTTCGTGCGCGCTGATGAGGGGCACATCAGGCGCCAGGATTGCGGCTCTGCGGTTGCAGCACCAAAATCGAGGGTGGCTGCATTCCACGCGGGGTCGGGTACGATTGCCACCCGAGGTTGCAAACTTGGCATCGCTATTTGCGTCCTTACCAGGGTTCGCTCTTGCCATACGACCGCACATTATCAATAGTGACGTCGTACGCAAGCAACGTCGCGCAGGCGAGCCAGTTGCAGATCGCCGAGGCAGCTGATAAGCATTTTGACAGCACAGTAGATACCTCATAGTTCAATGCTTCGTGCTCGAAGACTCCGCAGCAATGATTGATGGCATCCAGTCTCCGAAATGTTCGTACGACGATTCACCACATCACGTGAATACCCGGACCTAAGCAGGTATTGCCCTCCGCAATCTGTAATCTGTGGAGAGGTTTTTAGCCATCCTACGGACCCTTAAACTACCATATCTCAAGTGTATGCTAGTTGTGGAGGGTTTGCGCAAGCATCTCTCTCAGTGCTCTTTTTGACCGCTTCCCACGATGCAGATGCAGAAAGACAGCAGATCCGCCACTTCGTGCACCGAGTGCCAACGGCGGAAGCAGAAGGCGAGCTTTACCTCTCCTGTGTCGCATGCCAAGCCTGGCTAATAGCATGAACAGTGTTCTCGCGAATGGCCATGCAACCACTGCCAGGCAAGGAAAGTTGCTTATCTGTGACAATTTGCTGTGAAGAAATCGCAGCACGTGCATGTGATAGACTCTGTAAGGCATGTAGCAGCATGCAACAAATTAAAGGATACTTACTAACATCCCGCCTGTAGAGGGAGTTCAGGCGGCAGCAGAGGCCACAAGAGGGAGCACTTGACTTCATTTGAGGGGTCTGCCGATCTGTTACAGCACGGAAACATCGAACCAAACGAAGGTGGCCTACGGGCCTGGGGCTACATGCCTGGACATGTGCACTGGAAAGTCAATACTATCAACGATGTAAGTGTTGATCAGGTCAGCATGATGATTTGCGGCTTACCTGTCAGCAGGGTGCACAAAGGAAACAGGCTCCCCCAGAACCCGCACGATTAGAATTGGCGGAACGTGTGCTACACGCTGTTCCTCCACGATCGATAACTGGTGAGGAGGTCTTCAAGAGATCTAGTGACCCTGCTGCTAACATCATGCAGACGCGTTCGTAAACCACTTCCTGAGCGTGGTCAACTACCGATACAGCACAATCTACGCCCCTACTTTCACAAACCAGTATGTCCAGTGGTGGGCGGATCGAGCTGCCGGCAAGCGATTATCTCCAGAATTTACGTGTTTACTTCTGAGGGTGTGCGCGTACAGCGTGCAGTATCTCACATCTTCGTTGCGGAAAATGATCATATTCGAGATGGCTTGTGATCTCCAGCAGCTCACAGATCGTTTCTCTGAGGCCGCAGAGCAGCTAAGTCAAAGCTTTACCGCCGCGAACACATGTGTCGAACGCGTACAAGAACAGTTTCTTAAAGGGGCCTGGCTTAAGTCAGAAGCAAAAATCGTCGAATCTTGGCATGTCCTGGGGTGCACAATACGCGAAGCACAGGAACTTGGTATAGACAGGGACGCCAATACTAAAGGTCTAAACGAATTCGAAATTGAGATCCGGAGGAGAATATGGGCGTTGCTGTACATCTGGGATTGGTAAGCTTGCGTGTCATAGGAATGGCGAAGCTCAGCTCACAATTTTATAGGCAGATGGGTGCTTGGCTCGGACGACCGAACCTCATCGATCAAAAGAATCTCAAGTTCAAACTGCCCACATTACGCTTGGATTCGTCGAGTTCGGAGCCGAATCTGCTCTCGCCTTTCGCCCACATGGCCCTTCAGGCAAGTCTTGGCCGGCGGCTGAACACCGTTATGGGTGATGCGCAGTCTGTTGAGGCCCTCTCCGCCAACGAGATCATTAGTATACAAGCCAGGCTCGACAAGTTCATTGATGATCTACCTTCAATCTTCCGGCTCCACGATCCAGACACCTCGCTGGATGTCGACCATCCATATCTTGTATTCCAGCGTCACCAGCTCCACACCGTGCTGCACGTGACGAAGCTTGACTTCTTGAAACCATTCCTCACACGAGCTCGCGATGATAAGAAGACGGACCGAGACGACGAGTTCCGTGCTATGGGTATAGACTTGGCTCTTGATGTGCTCATGGTGGCTCGTCGTCTATTCGATCATGAGTTCCCCATCAATGCCAAGTTCCATATGGTCGTCTTCTCGATCTTCGACACCTCAACGATCTTGTGCTCCGCCATAATCCATGACAGCGAATCCAGTTTGACCCGGAGAGACGAAGTCACAAACGCCATTAATGGGTCGCTTGACATGCTGCATCAGCTTAGCAGGTCCACAAAGCTTGGCGCATCCTCCTACGCATTTCTTTACAAGCTGGTCCAGTCCCACCCTGAGATTTCGTGTGGTGCCGGGGCCGGTAAACGCTTACGAAGGCTGTCATCTACATCCACGCATACACTTGAACTTCCACCCCTTGTGCATCATTCATCATCGAAAGAATCCGTCAACAGTTCGATTGGTATCCAGGCGCCGGCAAGCATATCGCAGACCTCTACAGCCATCGAACCAACTTCCACCATGCCCTTAATACATGACTTCTCGTTTGATGTCGACCAATTTTTGGCGCAGAACCCGCTTGGAAGCGCGAACGCTCTAGATATGGGCGGCATAGAGCAGATCTGGGATTGGGAGGACCTGAATTTAGATCAGTTCCCTTGTTAGCTCCATCCAGCGTAGGTGAAGTGTATAAACCTTTGAACAAGCAGTGCTTGGGCGCATTCTACTGTTTGCGTGCTGTCTGGTTCGGTCATCCTAGTCCACATTCGAACGGATATCCCGAGTTAAGCCAACAGTGATATTGACAGACGGCTGGAGGAAGGTCGCAACCTCGATTTTGATCTGAGTGAGGTATAAACTCCAAGCTCAGTACAAGCATTTACACCCTTATGCCGTCCAGTCGAACAATCCTCGATAGGCAGGTTGCCGTGATTGGAGTTTCTTGACCGAGGTAGCTGATCTGAGCTTGCGCTTGAGATCTGGAATGTATGCACAGTAGGTCTGACACCATTTCGCGAGTTGGTAATGCCTCCCTGTCGTCGACCTTGTCTAAGAATATCCCAGACTTCGGCCCGGAACATGATGGTATACGTAGTGACTGTGGCGGTGCCCCTATTTTTTCAGCATGAGCAGTCGTTTGATCATGCTACTGGGCGTACCCGATTTGAACTTTAGACGTAGAAATTGCTAAAGTTCGACGCTCTCCTAGTTATCACATTGACAAATTCTGCAGCCAGTGTCCTTTGTTTACACTTCGCTACCTGGCCGAAAAGTATTGTTCGTATCTCAAGCGACCACATGGGAAGCCGCGAAGGTTCGTCAAGTGGAGCAGGTCGGTGGAAACCTCCTAGCATTAGGGTTTCTTTGGCTCCTATCAGGTGTCAGTAGTGGGAAAAGTTTCTACCCCAACCTCAGGGTCTTGCCACTGGTATCTCATGTCCAACTCGAAGAGTGCTTGAGACTCTTTCAAAATACTCTTGACCTTTGAGCGCTTCGTAATTGAGGCTTTCTGAGCGATATATTCCCGCGGATAACGAAGTCTCATCCAGAATGAACGCAAGCTGCGTCGGACACCGCAGCCAGGGCTTGACGGGACAGCGGGCTGCGACTGTATTATGCCTATTGGAGCACAGCAGTGGATCTTTACGCAGTCAGAAGGGCCGCGCATCATAAATGCCAAAATACAACGTAATTTTTTTGGCATTTGTTGTTGCGGCGGGAGGCTTCGCTTCAAACTCACCGACCAAAAGCGTCTCACAATGTGGGTGTAAATTTTGTGCCGAGAATTGGTTCGCCGTAACGTTGGGGCTCAAGTGAACCATAAAAAGCCTCTCCGGGGACGGTTACCGAACAGAAAATGCTTACCAATGCGTCATTCAGCTTAGCAGAACGGTGATGCTTGGTATGGTAGTTTGGGTAGTACAGATGAAATCCACACCCACCCATCAGTGTTATGCAGATCATCAAGCGCTCGCTGAGCAAGTTTTCCTTGAAGCGCTTCGCTGCTCTCTTCGAGAACCGTACCATGGCCATCACTACCTGCCTTCTCTGGTTCCAGTGGAAGACCGTCGGTATGGCATACCCTCTGTTCAACGCCTTCCTGCCTCAGTACCTTGCCAAATCTGGCGGCGACGTCACCAACGATGTCGCAACTGCTCACCGTAACTATGCTATTACTGCCATCGTTGGTGTTCCCGGCTCTTTGCTCGCTTGCTGTACCGGCGACCTGAAGTATACCGGCGGCAAGGGCACAATGGCCTTCGGAACGCTCGTCACTGGCATCTTCGTCTTTCTCTTCACAATCTCCTCCGACTCCGACTTCCAGCTGGCGTTCACCTGCCTGGAGGCTTTCTTCCAGAACATCATCTACGGAGTCCTGCGCTTACACTCCGGAAGTGTCTCACGCCCCTGTCTGTGGTACCGGTACTGGAATGTTGAGTTTCCTCAACCGGGTTGCTGGTCTCTGCCCGCCCATTGTTGCCATCCAAGCTGGCGCGAGCAACCCGAAGGCTCCAATTTACGCGTCAGTAGGCTTATTCATCGCTACGTTTTTCATCATGCTATTGCTGCCTATCGAGACTCGTGGCAAGCAGACTTTGTAGGGGTGAAAAAAGATCAGAATTGGATCGTAGAGGTTGTTGTACTAAGTTAGTTTCGCGCTTAGATACCTACCCCTCGTCCGCCTATGGCCTTATGGAGTTCAGACATGGGCGCTAGCAATGCAAAGTCATGTCCAAGCCCTCACTGCATAAATATCTTCCCCTTGCTGCAGTATTGTTTGGAATCAGTCGACGTTTCTGGGCCTGGTCGCAATTCAGACTGCTCTCTTTGCCTCGTTTTTTTCTTCAAAACTCCACAGGAAATCAAAGAACGTGAGATTGACAACATAGTTAGCAGATGGGTACAGCAGCAGAATTAGAGGTAAACATAAATTACGGCGCCTGACTATCGAGAATCGAAGAGCTAGGGCATTATCGCTATTCTACAATCCTCCGAAAAACATCATGGTATAATAGTACAGCAAATGGAACGCTTGATGGGTATCGTTAACATGACTCGTTGCGCGGTTAGTAGACACGGCGGGCATTGCGGCCGTCGGTGCCATGCATGCGGCGGGTACCCGCAGCCTTCACACCAGGCCTGCCGGTCAGGGTGCCCTTCAGCTTGGTGAGGGCACCAGAGACCTTGTCGCCCACGGTGGCATGGCGTTTGTGGTGGTGAACCGGGGCGGCCGTGGTGCGCCCAGTAGTGTGATGGCCACCAGTTGACCTCGTGGTCTTAGTTGTCGTGGTAGTGGTGGTAGTTGAACCAGTGATGGGGTTGTGCTTGGTAGTGGTGCGTCGATTGCCGCCGCCTAGAAGCTTGCTCTTGAGGCTTGGGTGGGCGGAAGAGCGGGTAGTCCGCGTGGTGTGGGGAGCAGTAGTGCGGTGGGTTCGAGAAGATGTAAGAGGCATGTTGACGTTTGGTAGGTTTCGGGTTGGTAGGTTGTGAGGATAGTCGGTGACTCGATTGTAGGATTGTGCTGGGAAGCTTTTGATTGCTTGATGATTGCTGTTTGGATGATGAGCCTTCAAGCACGACAATCCTCACTTTTATATCGAGACATCTAATTGTCTCGGGCCTGCTCAACTCACGGCTTTACCCTGGTAAAACAAGTTCATGCTTGCAAGTTCCCAGAAAGGGTGAGATCAACACCGCACCCAGTAGGGCACGTCATGCAGGGTCGCACGCAAGGCCTCACGACTCGTGGCACAACGCGCCTATTGGCGCATAATCTGCTGATGTGGCTTGTTATCTTCCAGAATGGTCCAGGCATGATTCTCAGCTGGAGCGCTGATGAGATCAGAGTGCTGGGGTGTTGACCGAGAACGACCAAAATCAGGGTCCGCACTGCTCAGAGCTACGTCATAGCCCTGCAAAGAGCTTGCGTAAGGCTAGAGGACCACAACGGTGCCGTGCTGCTTCTCGGCTCGGCTCGGCTCTGAGGTCCGACCTTCCCATCGATGTGGCTTGGGGCAATGACGTAGCAGCTGGTGAGATTCCGCGAAGAGGACTTCGAGGGGTGACGGTGAACACGAAGAACACGAGCCTGAAGTGTCAGCTGATTGTCACATCAGATAGTTGTCACGTCAGATAGGCCTTCATCACCTTCAGTTTGGTACGGTCACTTTAGACTCGCAATCCTCGCCGTTACCAGTGAGCGTATGGGTATGCCGGCTTCAATAGAGGACGAACATGTACTCCGAGACTGTACGGCGCCTCAGAGACCTACATCGACCTGCGCCGATTCGATAGTGAACTGTGCCGACTTCCTTTGCGATGCAGTCTAGATCACCGCGGATACTAAGATGGGTTGTCAAATTACTATTGTCTTCTGTCAGAATGCCATGCGACGTGCTCCACCTTAACAACGTAGTGTGCAGTGGGTGATTGAGTTATGATGTCAATAAAAAATAGCGACTTTGATATAAACACATCTTCGCCCACAAATAGCATTTTATCTACATCAACACACTGCTCTAGACTTTGTTCATTCTATCTGACTCTCAAAAATTCACTCAAAAGTGCAGCAGATACCCAACTTCACAATGTCTTCTAGCAAGGGCCAATTCGAGCAAGGTCCGTCTATTTCGTCAGTCACAGTATGTTTGGAGCTAACTAATTACCAGGCTACCAACCTGAGGTTCAGCAGCAAAGCAGCATCCCCGGAAAGGAGTCTGAGATGAACCCCCAGCCCGAGTACGACCACCTCCCCACTCCCGACGGCAGCAAGGAGCTGTACAAGGCCGCCGGCAAACTCAAAGGCAAGAAGGCGATCATTACCGGTGGTGACTCCGGTATTGGTCGCGCGTCTGCCATCCTCTACGCTATGGAGGGCGCTGACAGCTTAATCGCATATCTGCCCGAGGAGGAGGATGACGCACAACGGACGAAAAACATGGTGGAGGAGAAGGGCGCCAAGTGCTACACATTTGCTACCGACTTGAAGGACCGTGCAAACTGCCAGAAGGTCGTGGACGAGGCCCTCAAGCAGATGGGTGGCATTGACATACTCTTCAACAACGCCGCATACCAGAATATGGTCGAGGACATCAAGGACCTGGATGAGGACCAGTGGGTACACACCTTCGACACCAACATCCACCCCTACTTCTATCTCTCGAAGTATGCGCTTCCCCACATGAAGCCTGGCTCCGTCATCATCAACAACGCCTCCATCAATGCGTACATCGGCCGTCCAGATCTGCTCGACTACACATCGACCAAGGGTGCTGTTATTTCTTTCACACGCGCTCTGCACAACCAGTACGTGTCCAAAGGAATTCGCGTCAACGCCATTGCGCCCGGCCCTGTCTGGACACCACTGATCCCTGCCACCATGACCAAGGACGCCATCAAGCAGTTTACCGCTCCCATCGGTCGTCCTTCACAGCCTAGCGAGATCGCAACTGTCGCCGTGTTCCTTGCTGCGCCTGACAGTAGCTCCATTAGCGGTCAGACCATCCACCCCAACGGTGGAACCGTTGTCAATGGTTAAGCGCTCTCGCTATGTTTCTGTGTCAGGTGCGCCTAAAAATTCGTGGATGTATACATAGATATGACCTTTAATAATGAAATCGATGATGCCTTGGACAATGGAATCGCAAGAACAGTGATATTTCGATAATGATTCGAGAGGCTCAAAGTATCCGCTGAATCAGCCGAGCTAAGGCCCAAAGGAGCAAACTTCCGCCCGCCAACGCCGAGCATCGTCTGAGTTCGAGAGGCCGTCATTCACACAGCAGACATCCCATATCGCACGACATCATGCCCCCTCCACGGCTGACAGCCGCAATACTGCGCGCGAAACCGCAAACAAGACTGCAATGTCTCCGCCGAACAGCGTTGACAGCGCGATACGCCTCGTTCGAGTCTACACAGCCTTCACAACCTGACCAGCCAACGGTCCCGTGGAAGACCCCGCACAGCATCGAACAATGGCCACCTGCATACCTGATACCGCCTCCCAAAGATGGCGAGGTTCTGCTTGAGCGCAAGCCCAATCGTGCGCTTCCTCCGTACGCTCGTCGTTTGGTTCCCACTCTGAGATGATGCTAATACACCACGCCAGTATCCCTCCACTCATCTCTCCCCAAGTCCTCAAGACCCTTCCAATCTTCGTTATTGCGATGACTGTGTCGGTCCTCGTCTTCTTCAACTACCAAAAGCAAGAGTCCTCCGTCGTGACATCCACGCTCTACGCGCTACGTACGAACCCGCTAGTGCGCGAAGAACTCGGCGACGAGATCTACTTCGCATCCAAATACCCGTGGATCAGCGGCGAAATTAACCAGGTGCATGGACGCATTGATATCAGCTTCAATGTGAAGGGGACGAAGAGGCAGGGCAACGTCAGGCTTAGGTGCAAGAGGAGAGGCAGGGGAGGACTCTACAGCACACAGGAATGGAGTCTGACTATGGAGGACGGGCGGAAGCTCGAATTGTATGATCCTCAGGGCGATGCAATTGATCCCTTCCAAATGCCCGTCGACGAGGATTAAGCGCCGCATGCTAAATCGAGGGGCATGCGAAGACATTAAGACAGGGATTTTAACGCGGTGGTTGGGCGCTTCGAAGTGTGACAGGTGTAAATATAGTTGTACAGCTCAACATTATCGTGTACAACACAGCATCGCTGGACTGAGTTATTAGAACAAGCAATGATCATCATTGGACGTGCCAGTTGAGGAGTTGAGAGATAACCTGAAAAATATTTGAAGTTATCGTTGTTCACATGTTACTCCACCCATGCCCTTGCCGTGCCATGCAATGTTGAAGCTCAATTGTACAGAAAGAAAATGGTATCATGAACAGTCATACACGCTCTTCTCATGTCGTCTCCTCATTCTCCGACGATCCTAGATCTTGTCAAAGTCCACCTCAGGCCTCCTCACACTCGGGTGGTGGGCAAGGTTAGGCTTGACCAAGTGCGCGAACTGAGGGTTGATATTCAGAGGCCCTGATATCTCAGCAGGAACCTGGGGAACCTGGGGCTCCTCCTCCCTCGCCATGCGCTGCCAGAATTTCTTCTTTGCAGGCTCGCCACCGTAGGTGGTCCGTGAGTAGATGGAAGACGAGGGACGGTGGCCAAGGAAGCCGGGCTTCGGTAGCGATGTGCTATGATACGAGGGGAGGAAGGAACCCCTCACGCTCTTGAAGGCGGAAATGGGGCTAAATGCGAAGGTGGAGAGACGATTGGTCGACTGCTGGGGTTGGAGCTGGGGAGAGCCACAGTCGACGCGAGGAGTGGGCGCACCCATCGCTGGTGGTGTGCCCATGCGCATGGGAGGTGTGCCGTTGCGCATAGGTGGTGAATGTCCAATGTGTGAGCGGGACGAAGTGCTGCCAGTGTGGTGCGTGCTAATGGTGAAGGCCTTGTGCTTGGGATCAAAGTCGTAGTGCTGAGACTCAGCGTCGACTTCGCTCAGCGTCATGGCGCCACGGGAGCGGACACGACGGGCGGTGATGCCACGCGCACGGTCGCAGAAAGCGTAGCTCTGTGCAGTGTCAGTGTTTTGGTCGATGGGGATATTGGAAGATAGACATACAGCAATGACGTTGAAGAAGCCAATGACGATAGCAAGGATGCCAGACGCGACGAGAAGTCTCCAGAAGGGAAGCGTTAGGGACTTCTGGCTTGTAGCTTCCTTGTTCATGTTACCCAGCATATTCAGTCCGAGGACCATCATGGCGCAGCCCAAAGTCACGAAACCATGGACAGGACTAAGAAGTGGCCAGTTGCGAGCGAAAAAGTTGCGGAAGAGCGAGCACTCAGACACGATGAGGAACAAGCCAACGATAGCGGTGATAACGTGACTTGTCGCATCGAAAAAGAAGAACTGTCCCTTGTTAGATTTCAAATTCTTGAGGTTCTCAAAGCTTGCAGTCTTGTAAGCATACCTTTGAAATGATGAAGGTCTTGACAAGCATGACAACGCTGCTGGCAACCACTGAGGCAAGTGCGATGATGTTCAGTCCCCGCTGGACGTTAAGGATAATGTAGCCTGGACCAGCCAGATGCTCTGTGGAAAGGAGTGCCATTTTGTCTCGTGGATGGTTGTGAGGTTCGTGTATAGTTTTTGTAAATCTCAATGTTGTTTAGAGCTGACCAGCAGTCAAGAACTACGCGTCGAGCGGTTTATAGTAAGAGTTAAGGGAGATGTAGAAAGTAGGTAGTATAAAGGGGACAAGCCCAACGCCGTAAGGCAACGAGTCTTCGGGCTCAACAATAAAATCAATAGTGAACAATAAGAACTGAAGAGAAAATCTGGGAGAACTCGAGGTGAAGGGGAACCTGAAAACAAAACCCGCGCTAACGAAAGTCTACTGCGCGACCGTTGTCGCCCAGTGTCGCGAACCTCATATTAGCTCGGATTAAGGCGCATCGCACTGGCATCAGTTTGACGTGGCGATCGAATGGTCAAAATTGCATGCCACAACCTTGCACGCCTTTCCAGATCAGAGCGAAACAGCCCCAAGCTGGACGCGGGCGGCGACGCAGGCCCAGTCATTATTTCTTGGCTCTTGAGCTTGAGGAACACAGTTGACGAGCAGGACCCTGGACTGTTTGGCTGCCGGCATCCAGACAGTTGAGTCTTGTTTGCTTGAGGTGTGGCAGTCGCGTAGCCATTGGCTGTGAAGGTTTCAATTCTGAAACGAGCCCCAGATCCGCGCGCGGCACGGTCGGCGGCACGGACGAGCCACACTGCGCTCATCGTCAAGCGAATATTCCCGACCAGTGCGGCTGCAGACACACGACAGGCCCTGAACGCGTCGAAAAGTAAGTAGTGGGACAGACCGCGAGGTTCAGGCGCGTCGCAGTCGTTCCCTCATGCGTCGTACGTACTTGGCGCGCTAATTTTGCCAGCGGCGGCGGGCGGTACCGTGGCCGTGCGCCCGATGAGCCAGTTCAGCCGATGAGCCACCTCGAACATCACAACATTGAGATACCCGCAACTTCAACGCGTCACAACTCCACCACTATAGATCTAACGTAGATTATCACCAAGCCAGCCATAACGTAGATTATCACCGAGCCGGCCATATCACTGAACCAGCTACTTTCTCTTAGCACGACCACCTTTTACCCTAACACAACATGCCTCAACAACAACAACTTCAGAATACTACTAGAGAAGGCAGAGTTATCCTTGCTATCTAGGCCTTCTACGCTAGCTAATTTCGCAGTATCTACAGCGCTGCTAGAGCGTTGAACGTACCTTATTAGCAGGTCTCTAATTGCCTTTGCAATATCACGTTTTAACTAGACGTACACGCTAATTGCTAGAAACTTACTATACTAGAGGAGCAGACAATTGTCTAGTATATACTTAACCTTAATTTGCAAGGATTTGCGCCCTAGCTATGTAAGGTGGCAGATATAGCTAATAAGATACTTAGTGTGCGTAGTGAAGAGCCTGTTGGTAAACTATAGGCTAGCAGGCTTGTGACACGTTTAGACGAGCTTAAAATAGCCTTTAATTAAGCTAAGGATAGACAGAGGATACTACAGGAAGATCCTAAGATAATTAGCACGTAGTTTAAGCTAGTAGAGGATACTTAAGTTAAGTATAGTGTTTACAATAATAATATATATAACTTTAATAAAACTAGGTTCTAGATAGGTGTTGCTTTGTCTTTAAAGGTTGTAACAGGCTTAGAGAGACGTGCTTAGCCAGAGCTTGTTTAGCCAGGTAATCGCGAGTGGGTTACCGTTATCTAGAGCATCTGCGCCGCTAGGTAGGCTGGCGGATGGGTAGGGTATGCTTTTTTACGTTTTGGCTTATAGCTTCTTAACTAGCAGAGATACGCTTACATAATCTATTATTTAATAGAAGCGCCTAGTATTGCGCCTTCTAATAAAAAAAGAATTAGCTGATTCT